ACGTAATCACTGCCTACTGAAAACAGTTGTATTCAAACATCTGCTCTCTCACTGAACTCTTTACAACACTGTTTTGACATAAATATCTCTCCAACATCTTTTATCTCATAGACTTATTTTAATAGTTTTCTGAAATACATTTCAGGTACTTAGTGCAATTAGTAAGCCTAGTTAAGCCTTATTTGTGCACTCAATTTCCTCTACCTAGTGCTGGCAAGTCCAAATGTCTTTGGTGCTAGCTGCCGTGAAGTGAACAGTGTAAACATGAGGTAAAGCTTTAGAGTGTTGAATTCTACTACTGAATCCTTACAACGCCATAAAAAACCCTATCAGATGCTGTGCAAAGAAGCACAGTATGAAAACTAGTATTTTTCTATTTAAAATATTTTCTGTACACTCCAAAGACAAGTCCTAAATCTTCAATAATGTATGGCATGACTATTCCATTTTTGCTCTACACAGCCTTTATTCTACAGGAAGCGAGACTGGTCTGGCCAGAAATAACGTTACCTGATGTTTCAATGACTAACAGATTAGTTTATAATAATCTTGTAGATCATGAAGAATGAGCATCAGGCTGGATTAGGTAGGACTCGTTTGACCTGCTCAGCTAGAGGTGGACTCCGACAATTTGATTCCAGTCTGCATTCTGAAGCAAAAGGCTCAACCAGAAAATTATGAGCCCTATGCCTATCTGCCTAGTTAAAACAATTTTTCTATCTAAGCAACTCCCAACTAAATAATAGTTGTCATTTCCAACTACCTCAAATTGAGAGTTCATTGCTGCATTTTCCACTTAAATTCCTAACTTTGACCTTGGAACGCCACCTAAGACAGTGAGCAGTAATTCAGTCTCCCAACTACCTCATTCTAAGAGAATCTCTCCTGAGAGCAGGCTGCTAAAGGCAGTTTTGTATTTGACCCAGTATTAGAACAACAAACTCCATTTCAGTTTGAGTTACAGTTTGGGTTTGGTCCAGGACTACAGATGGCATCAAAGGCAGTCTTCTTTCTTGTAAAATCACTTATCAGCAGCATTTCTACCTTGGGGAAGGTGGTATTTTCAAATGTGCTCATCACTGATCTTCCTCTCCTTCCTATACATTTCATATGGGAAAAATGGGCTGGGGGGTGGGGGTAAAGGGGGAATGAAGACATATGACAACATCCAAATGTTTCTCATAGCTGAAAAATTAAAAAAGAGAAAGAGGATACCCAAATTGGTGTCCTATTGATCCTATTGATGGTGCTTAAACAAGAAACCTTTTCAGGTCTCAAAGTTTCTTTCAGCATAACAAATATTTGGGAAAGAAACCTTATCATTTGGGAAAGAAACCTTATCATTTCTGCAGTTAACAGAGCTTCACTAACTTAAACTGTTATAGCATTCTACCACTCCTTCTCCAAAACAACTCATAGTAATATATCTGAGAGGTTCAATTTGTTTTAAGATTACATAGTAATTTTGTATTCAAAATTACTGTATTATTTGTAATGAATAAATTACTCTGTTTCTCTTCTGTGTTTTATGAAGTCTTATGGCTTCCTCAAAATGTATTATACAAAATAATTCATACAAACATTGCCATGAATAATGGCCATATTGGCAACTTTTGATTAGATTTACAGATTGTGTAGTAATGTTTCTTTCCTCTGAGTAGTGAATGGAGAAAGAGAACAGCTAACTAATATCCTGTGCTTAATCAAAGGGCCATCGATCTAGGTAAAGTATTTTTCTAATTATGTTTAGTTAAAGTGACAGAAATCTTCATGGGGCTATGTTTAAGCTGACTTAAAAATGATTTATAATAGATTTTCTTGATTTTATTAGTTACTATGAATATAGATAAGGTCTGAGACTCTGTAATAGATATCTGTGCCAGATTGTGATCCCTTAATACCAACGATTTAACAGTCAAATTTGATTTCAATGACAGCAGGAGGTGAAGGAAGATCAGGCCCCAAATTGCAAGACTACATGTTTTTTATATATATATGTATATGTATACATATATATTTGGTTATACAAATACGTATTTCCATGAATATCCTTTCTACTATGTTCCCCTGTCAAGGGAAACTCCTCTGTTTGGGAGTTGGACTTCAGGAACTTTGTGGTTCCCTTCCAACTCCAGATATTCTATGATTCTGTGAAATCAAAGGTAGAAAATGGAAAATGCTCTTCACCTAATACAGTATAAATTTGATGCAACTTTTAAATCATTCAGGTAATTTTCCTGCAAAGATGACTAAGTAACATAATGGTCAACCCTACGTAATGGTGCATTCTTTACACATTCAGCACAATTTATACAGGAGAGGTTATCAGCAGTCAAGGTGGATACCTAGTACAGAAAGATGTCTACAGGAGGACAGGTGGGAGCAGGAAGAATTACTGAGGTCCTGACCTGTCTCTGGTGGAGGAATGGGGACTGAGAATGGGTGAAGTCTCCTTGCCACCCTTCCACTCCCTGTTCTCAAATTGTCCCAATATGGGGAGAGCTCTTCTTCCTCACCTTCTCCATCTGGGCAAAGCTGCTGCTCCCACAGCCTGATCCTGGTCTTTGTAAACCCACTTTGGTCCTCTGGCAAAGTACGCAGCAGGTTGTACTGGACTGAAGGGTGACTCTCCATTCACCTTGCCTCTGCATAACAGAGCCTTCCTCAATAAACATTCCATTCCAGCTTTCCCATTCTCTTCCAGCTTTCCCCCGCTGACAAAACAAACCCTTCAACCCCCCTAGCTCAACTGTCAGCTCTGAGATCCACGCAGTGGTTGTCATCTCCTGGCACCATCTCATCCTGCTGCCATGAGATGCCTTCTGTACCACGACGTTCACCAACGTCAGCTCCGTCTGGTCTCAACCGTGGCAAGGTCAAAAGAAAAAAAAAAGGAAGAGAAGAGGAAGAAAAGATGGTAAAAATGACCCTAAACCCAAGAAAAAAACCCGATCTAACAAACTGTTCTGCGTTGGCCGACGCCTCCCTGGCCGCTATTCGACGGCAACCGCTTTCGGGCACAGAGCAGCCTGGCAGGTGAGGCAGGAGGACCACGGCCAGGGGCCGCCTCCAAAGGGGCACCGCCGGCTCTGCGCCGCTCCTCGCCTCGCCTCGCCTCGCCTCGCCTCCTGAGCGCGGCCGACCGGGCCGCCCGTTCACGGCGCGGGCAGGGAGGGGTTGTTGGACGGGGGAACTGCCCGCCACCCCAGCGCCGGCTCCCCCTTTCCTTCCTTCCCTTCCCTCCCTGCCGGCGGCCCCGCGGTGCCTCCCGGCGCGGTGCGTTCGTTACCTGGCGCTCGGCGGCGGCTCCGTCCTCACCTGTGCGCGCCCCTGCCAATGGCAGCGCACCTGGCGGCCGCGCCGCCCAATCAGCGCGCGGCTCGTCCCTCTCCCCGCTCCTTTAGTGAAAGAATCCAGCGCCGCTCGGGAAAGTTACCTGTGCGCGTCCGGCCCGGCCGTTCTCCCGTGCCGAGCCCCGCCGGCGCCCCAGCCCCGCCGCTCCCCACATGCCAGGGGGAGGGGGCTCTACCTGTCCTGCCTCGGCGGCTGGCTGCGGAGCCGGGAGAGGGGGGGAAGGAAAGCAGAATTACCAGTAGCTCTGGTTCTGCCGTCCCGGGCGTTCACACGCACACCTTCACCTGCACAGACCTGAAAGTCCAGTTCCGCCAGGGAGACGGAGGCACCGGGAAAAGGGGAGAGAGTTCATTGGATCAAACATGTCACAAGAGACGGACAAGTAAGTGATCGCAGGCACGCCGCTGCACCCGCTGAGCGGGGCGGCCCGCCGGGCTGGCCGCGTTCCCCCTCGCCCGTGGCGGACGCGGACCCGCCAGGACGGCGCTTCTCCCTCTTCTCCCTCCTACAGCGATGCCGGATCGGGCGCATAGACACTGCGAAGCGCCCGAGGACAAGGCTGCGGCTCGCCGCCTCGCACCTCGCTCTCCGTCTGGCCGTGGGGCTGCGCGAATAGTTTTTTCTTCTTTTAGTTCAGGGTTTTTGTTTGGTTGGTTGGGTTTTTTATATTGGTTTGGGTTTTTTTTCTCCCCTCACCTCAAGGGTCGCTTTTCGGGAGGGAGCGCTCCTCGCCCTGGAAGAGCGGAGCGGACTCCGCCCGCCGAAGGCCCCAGAGGGAAAGTGCTTCCTTGCTTTTGTGTTGGCGCAACAAAGGGCTTTATCCCCCAAGGGCCGGGCACGGCCATCTTCCCTCCTGGGCTGGGGCCGGGTGGGCAGGGGGCCCGGGCGGCGGGAGGAAGGCCCTGGCTCGGCCCAGGTGTTCGCCGCCTGCCCCGTGCGGCGCCTTCAGCCCTCGCCGTCCTGACCTTGTTTTCCCGGCGGGACGACCCGGTGGGCCTGCGGCTGCCTGGAGACCGGCGGGGTTAAAAAGTAACTTTCCCAGTAGCGGGGCCGGAGGAGGAGGATGAGAAGGAGACGGAAGCCGCCCGCTCCCGCCGGCCCAGGGCCCGCCGCAGCCCCTGTTTCGCCCGGGCCTGGCGCAGCGAGGCCGGGGCAGAGCGGCGGTGCGAGGGGACTCCGCGCTGCCCCCCAGGGCCGCCGGCCGTAGTGTCGGGACCCCCCCCGGACATCCAGGCCCGCGGCGGGGCCAGCGGCGGGCTCGGTGTCCCGCCGCGGGCAGCGCCGCCAGGAGCCGTCGGTGGGCGCCGAGGCCGCGGCGTGGCCGTTCCCGCCACCGCGGCTCCGGCTGCGCCCGGGGCCCGTGGGCCCAGACCGCGGGTGGGTCATTTACCCCCGGTAAATAATTCGCACGGGCGATGCCGCGCTCCCGCCATGGCGGCGGGTGCCTCGGCCTGGCGCCCAGAGCCGCCGTGAGGCAGCCAGGCGGGAAGGCCATTTTCCTTGCTCCGGTGATTAGTGTTTCTGCAGGAGGCAGCTGGGGAGAGCTACGGGCAAAGGAAGATGGAGGGCGGGAGGTGGCAGTTTTGTTTTACTGCTGCCCCGGTGCAGGTAGGAACGCCACAGAGACGGGTGTGATCTCGGCTATGCTTGGTGTTAGTCAGGTGGAATCCCTGGTTGGGCTCCTCAGGAGCCTTTGTGCCAAAGGAGGTGGAGAGGAGGAGCCTGATGCTGGAGGGAGGCTTGGTGACAACCTGCCTGTCAAGGAGTGAAAGAAGGAGATTATCCGACAAAAGAGAACAGCAGTGTTGGCTGCCCTGATAGGGAAGAAACAGGACCGTTCAGAGGAGAAAGATTAAGAAAAAAAACTAGGCCTGGTCTTTTCAAACATCAGTGACAGTGGAATTGTTCAAAGATAGTTATTGACATGAAATTAAAATGGTTGGGGTAGGAGCTGGGAACAGAGTGGAGTTTAGGAGTTCATCTGAGCTGGGATGGGAACTAATGCTTTAGGTGGCCAGATTAGAGCAGTAAATGATTTAAGTAAGTGCAAAGAAGGGAATGAGGATACAGCCCTGAGGGTTGCCGGTGAGGAGCAGGTAAAAGAGCAAGTCGTTGAGGTCGGGAAGGGAACCAGATTAACTGTGAAAGAGGTGACGCGATGGAAGGCATGCCAAAGCAACGGGCAGTTCCAGGACTGCACGAAGCTGAAAGTTACTCCCTGGCCCAACCTAGTTGTCGGTAGTTTCAGCAGTCAGAAACTAGGCTGCGGCAGATCAAGGGCACTTAACGGGAGTGGGAGGGAAATACGGAGGGATGAGGAGGGTCAGAAGAACAGCTTCGCACCACAGTCGACACTGAAATGGAAAAACAGTGCAGTGGAAACCTGTAAGAAACTAGGGCAAAAGTGGTTCCGTTCTGGACCTTTCCAACAGGAACAGTATGGCATAGGTGTAAACTATTGAGACAGAAGCGTTAATGCCCTTCATACCCAGCTCTGTGTAGTGCTGCTGCCGCTACCGCTGGGAGGAATTTAAGAGCAGTGGCAGTGGCATGCAACCTCAAGTAACAGCACTTGCCCCGTTGCACGTATGCCTGTGATCTCTTTCTGGTTAAGGTCTTTAGAAAATTCATAGGTGATAGTTAAGAGTTTGAAAAGGAAATAAAAAGTAAAGAAGTCTCCTGTGCTCTCTATGCGCAAGTGTAACATGAGAAGACAAATACATTTGTTTCCAGAAGAGATGACCAGGTGGAATGAGGTAATAGGGGGAATTTGCATGGGAAGGTTTTTGTTTGTTTGTTTGTTTTTAGGCTCTAATGATATCCAATTAAAACCTAATCCAGAGAGTACATTATTCTCCTCCACATGGTCTTTCTTTTTGTTAAAACCAGATCTTCCCTACAGGCAAGACTGGACAGTGAAGCTCGTTATTTCGAGGTCATTTAATTTGTCAGTGTCATTGGACGGGTTTTTGTGGGGCTTGTGCTGGTAAAGTGCTGATGTAGAGAGGACTGAGCAGCTGAGGGGATATAGAAAGTGTGGAAAACACGTTCTATGGGACTTGCCAGCTTTTCTGGAGAGGTGTAGCTCAACTGGGCTGCCTGCAGTGTTCACATTCGGAGGGAGGAGCAGGAACATCGGTTCTATAGTCCTTTAAGGGAGGAAGGTGAACAGTGCTTTTATTCTGTAGTGCTTTATGGGGCAGTTAGGTGAAAATGCTAAAGAACCAGGTGTTTGATTCTAATGCTAACTGAGGAGCTTGGAAGGGGAGATTATCCTTAAGATAGTCACACTATATTCCTGTCTTTCCCTTTAGTCTTTCTGGCTAAGCTGGGTCTTGCCTGCTTGCTTCCACAAACTCCCATCGGTCGGGAGAGATAAGGCATGATTGCACATGCATTTTTTCAGAGGTAGTACCGACTTAAGCAGGCTGTAGCCACTTGCTCCTGCTTCTGTTCTGCCCTCTCAGCTGTGTCAGTAGAGCTGTTTGTGCAGCTAGAGAACTGGCTCAGGGGAGTGTTGGTTTGAGAGTAGCCCGATCTTCTGGAGGTTATTTTTGACATTCATTTTTAATTGGTCTGAGTTCATATGCAGAGGGGTGCAAGAAAATTGCAGGTGTTAAAGACAAGAACTGCTCAATCTAGAATCTCTACAGAAGGAAATGTGTGTCCCTGCCTCTCTATGAATGTTTTGGAGGTTTGTGCATCTGCTTCTGTTACTACCCAATTTCCAGACCCATTACGAGGAGAACTGGGGATTAAATGGAGACCGGGGGACATAAGGTGGGAGGAGGGAGCATCCCCTTTGCGTGGTTTAAAGATGATTCCAGGGTTCACTTCTGCATTTATAGGCTGAAAAGTTGTTCTTACATGTAGTGTACAGGAGAAAAAGATCATTACAAAATTCCAGAGTAATGGCTCTAGTGCATTAGTGAAGCTAATCAGTGAGCTCTCTACTTTGTGAGACTGAACTGGATTTTAGACATTGACAATACTTCTGTGAGGAGCAATAATTGTACAACCATTTGTGATCTGCCACGGTTGTGTCCCTGCTGCTCCTGATGTTGTGTAAAGTCCCTCGTGGGCTGGAGTGCAGTTGCATGAGGAGCAGGCTCACAGCAGGCCCCTGCACGCTGGCCCAGCACGCTGGCCCTGTGGCTCTGCTGGATGCCCAGCCGCGTGACTGCCTGTCTGTCAGGCCGGGATGTGCAAGAGCTACTCAGGACACCAGGTAGATGGGGCTGGGGCATGCTCGGACTGACCACATTAAGGAGGGCTTGGGGCACCCTGGGTCTGCAGCTGAACATGTGCTTGTGGGTAAATAACTGAGGGGAGAGTGAGCCTGTAGGTGGGAATGGGTTCAGACCTGTTCCTGTGTGTCAGTGGAGGCATGTTCACCTCTGCAGCTTGCTGCTTGGTAGTATCTGTGGCAGAAGTTGATCTTGGATTCTTCACAGGGTAATTTTGATTTACTGTTTTCTCCTTAGTGTGTAAATATACTGCCCTCATAATATTTAACTTAAGCATCTAGTACTATAATACAAAGGGCATTTGTAGTTTACAATGTAATTCTATGAACTGTTCTTAATTTTTTCTTTGAGGGTCAAATGTGTTTCCTGTCAGCAGATTGTGAGTGTCAATTAGGTGACAGACTACTCAGTTATATTTTTTTCCCCATTGCTGAGTGTCTGAATAGAACATCCATTGAGATGAATTTTCCAAAGTGTTACTCATCAGGGAACAAATGGAGAAACAGGAATTAGATGTGTTTAGTTTTCCACTTTTCAAACGTCAGACATGCTGTTGTGGATGTTCCCTAGAAAATCATTTCTGTGCAAGGAAGGCAGAAAATCAGTGTGCAGAACCTCACAGAGCTTGCAACTATAAGCTTAACTGAGAGGAGTAAGGGTATCAAATGGTTAGGTCTTACTGTTAACACTGCTGTCTCTCTGGTGCTGAAGTCTGAGACTAGACTGAAGATCAAAGCAGAACAGGAGGGGGGATTTTCCCAGGTCACTTTAACTTGATTGTAATGATCCCATAACCTCTTTCCCGTGGAAGGGTCAGCAGGGACATCATCATTCTTGTTCTGGCAGGGACACCTGAAGGGTAAATGATATTACACCAGTTGACATTTGTTGTCAAACATTTTCACAAATATTAATCCAGTGCAGACCATTGATGGTTGCCTTAAATACTTTTTTCCTTTCCTATGGAGCAGCCAATTAAACTGCCCTTTTTTTGGACACACACAAAACAGCACTTTCAAATGCTGGTTTAAGAATTCATCCTGGGATGAATGTTCATTAGCTTTTTAATCAGTGACTGGGACGGTGCTGGCTAATTAAAAGAAGATAAGTAATTATTTCGGACATCTTGGTATACAGGAATACTGTTCTATTCTTCTCTAGTACTGACTTCATAACAAAGACAGTGGTTGCTTACAAAATATTTAACCAAGGAAACTATATTGTTTGCATGTGAACCGTGAAGTCAAATATTGCAACATATCTATAGCTTGAGAATGTCTCCAACCTCAAAGATTACCTATATAGATTTATTTTTATATATATTTATATCTGTATCTGCCTAGATTTGTTAATTTTCGTAATTGTGGGAGGTGATGGCATACTCCATAATTCTATATTTTAATTGTTCTGTAAAGTATAGTCTTGGGTTTGTAAGCTTTTTAAAAATGTTTGTGGGAAATCTTGACTTCCGGGATTGCTCAGTTGTTGAATTCATGTTTTCTTTCTGACTGCGTAAAAGGTTTAATATCCTGGAAAAAACAGCAATCAGTGCTATCAGTGCAGTAACTATTCCATTTCCATTAACTCTGTGGAAGCAGTGAGTGAACAAGGACCACAGGGCCAAGGGTCAGGTTAAACGGCAGCAGGTCTGGGAAGCCTTGTTATAACCTGTTTTTAATTTTAAAGGCTCTTCTGGCTGCTTCAAGTCATCTAAAACACCCTTGGGTGCTATGCACACTGGAAGTATGCTTCCTAGCAAAACAGCACAGCCTGTTACGAAGCTGCTAAGTAATTACTAATTCTGATCAACTCTGTTAGCTCCTGAAGGACTGCTGTGAGCTTGAATTTTTCCTCATTTTTTAAGATGTCAGTGATTTCTTACAAATGTACTGAAACCTTACCTTTTTTTGAGACTGTTTTCTTCTTGGATAAAAAAAAAAAGGATGCAACAGGTGTAGTGCACTAGTAACAAAAGATTGTCTGGTAGAAATAATATTTAATTACAATGAAACAAAGAAGTCTCTGAAATGACAGGTATAAAAAGTCTGTCTCAGGGTGAGTAATTGCCTGCTTGAACTAGTCCTCAGTAGGCATTTATTGTATATATTTAATCCTTGTGTCAGATTTCTTTTTCATACTTCCACTTTGACATAGTTAATTTTTTGTCAATGTTAATGAATCACCTATTTGTTTTAATCTCTTTAATCACTATTGCATGCCCAAGTTATTTTGGTTCTGAGTAAAAGCAAATAAAACTTTTACTAGGCATCTAATTGTTGAACTAGTCTGTTTTCCCATTCACTGTTGCTTCTCTCAGTATATTATTTTACTTTCTCTCGGAGTGTTTAGTGAAGTTAAATAATTTCTTTTAACCATTTAGCATGTGTTCGGGTTTGTCTTGTGCTCAAAAAAGTATAATTGTCCCAAAATTAGAAGAGTCCCAAACCTGCATTCATTAGCAGGCAAAATTACTCAGCCTCTTTAATGGGAGTTTTTTCCTTGGTATGGACTTCTGGCTGGGCCAGAGGGCATCTTGCCTTTTCATTTCCTGGTGGTCTAAATGCTTTGATTTTTTTCCTTTACTCTCAAATCATTTGTATATTTTTATACTCACTGGCTTTGGTTAAGTGCATTTTTGGAGACCTGTTGTGCTTCTGGGAATGATGTGACTGTCGTCTATGAATGACAAAATACTGAGACACATGGGCCATAATTTTCCTGTTCCTTAAACGTTTACGCTCCTTTGTAGTTTTAACAGAACCCTATTATCTAATTGAAACAACAGTGTTGCTGACTATTTAATTATACTTTTGGCAATAAATCCTGAGGAGTCTCAAAATTTTTTTAACTAAATAAATCAAAACTTGCAGTGAGTCATACATGTTTTTGGGTTTTCTTGTTGTTGTTTTTTGTTTATAACTTGATGTCTAGACAAAGTAGTATGTTGAGGGTAGTAAACTTGAGCCAAAACTAACATTAGAATCTTTAAAACAAATGGTTTCAAGCACTGGGATTAGCTTTGATTTATACTTCTCTGTGTAACGAGCACAGACAGAAATTTATGATCTGGAATCTAAAGTTTGTTAACTTATCCAGCTTCTGTGGGATCTGTCCTGCATTTTAAATGGTCATAGTACTTCAGTTTGTGCCTGTGAATGCATATGTATGGGCATTAGTTGTAAGACAAATTGTATGAACATCTGTTCTAAATCTGCTTTATAGCTGAACTGAGATTTGTATAAGCGTAAAATAAACTTACAAAGGGTTTTAGAGCTACTGAAACGTTTGTAAATGATCATACTGTACTGTCCTTAGCTATGTCAAAACTGAAGTGGGAACTTCTCTTTTTCTTCTTCTTGGATGTGTCTGAAGTGTGCTCCTGTACCTTTTGTCACACCAAATGAAACACAGGCATTCTTGAAGTTCCCCATTTCTTACTTTGCACTGGAGGAAAGACTAAGCAGGCAGGTGTTGTTCCCGTAGCCCACTGGGTCACAGCATACTTCAGCCAGGTCTCTGATCTGGACAATTATGGGATCAGAAACCCAGGGTGCAACATGGTGTGTGGTGCATGTCTGCATGCAACATGGAAGTGGTCCATTTGGCTGACATCGTGTTTTAGAGTTCGTGTTTCTGCCAGGGTTTATGGATTGGAGACAGTTGCGGTTTTCACCTTCTTATCATCCAACTAACAAGGAGGTTATGGTCAATATCCTATGGCCTTGGTGTGCTGGGCAGGGAACCAGAGTGACGTGTTGCCTTTTCCAGTTATTTGACTAATGCCAAAATTTGTGTGCTTTGTAACAGCTGTATTGACCAAAACCCCCTATCCCTTCCCGTGAAGCGATAGTTTGCAGAGGATGTGCATGGATGTGCTTGGCGCTCTTATCTCAGCCCTGTAAGAATGGACTGGGCCTGGGCTGAAACCTGGGAACTGGGACTCCTCCCGTTCTGCTATCTTGCACACATTGCTTGTGTGTTCCCATCTGGCATCTAGCCCCTGCAGGGAAGGGAAAGTCCTCATGCATTGTCAGGGAGCGAAGAAGTCTGCAGGTATATTGATGGAGCAGCTTCATTGTAACTTTATTTTTTTAAGCTTGTTGAAAGAACAAATGCGATGTCAAAAAAAAAAAAAAAGCGCAATTAAAACGTGGAAATGCCTGGGCTGGGTGCCCACCTTGGCAGTTTAAACAATCTGCTTTGGGTTGCAGATTTGGGCAAGGCAAAAGACATGGGGCAGGGAGGAAGAGGCTTTCTTCCCCACTAGCACCAACTGGATCAGGATATAATGCTGGGCATATGATGGAGCAAGATGCACTGTACTTAATGCAGCACGGCTGCATCAGTCTGCTTTATGTTCAGGGGCAAATTTTGCAGAGAGGATGAGAGCTGCTTGAACTTTGCAAATTCAGTAGAAAGCTCTTGAGCATCCAAATTTGTCTGAGAGAGACTGGCAGGTGGGACATCTTGTTTCTGAATAAAAAGGAGGCTGATCATGAAACCTTTCACCATAGTTCATGAGTATGTTAATTCTGATTCATTGTAAACTAATTCACAAATTGCATCAAGTTGGGTGAGAATTTGCCTGTAGTAGGATTTTATAGCCCCAAGTGTTAGCTGTTGAATGTTCACTATCTTTAATCCAAGGAAGAGCTTGCAAGGCCAGCCCTTCTAGCTGATTTATTAACATTAAGTACAATGTACCTTTCCAAGTTATACTGTTGTACTGTAGTAACTGAAAGTTTTGAACATCTTTATAGACTACATTGTATAGGTTTTATAAAATTCCGTAATCTTAATTGTAAATAAACTCAAATCACCCTAATCGTTGTAAATCTGGAAAATTTATGTCTTTTCTTAGGCAAGAACAGATCCTATAGGATATAGGATGGTATGAACAGGAAAATATCTTCTAAACAGTTGGGAGGAAAAAAGATTGCAAAATAAAGCCCATCTGAAATTCAGTCTTGACATAAACACTCAAGTGTCAGAGCAGTCTAGCTCCTAGCTAGACCATGCCCCAGAAAATACCTTTCATCTTCACACACCCAGTACTGTTTAAGGTAAAACAGTTGAAACATTTTGCATTCATTAGAGGCTCAAGTGATAGCTTGAAAAGAACCATTTACTTTTTAGACACAAAGAATCCTCAATTCTTCAACTTTATTTTCGTGACAAAATAATGGTGTGCTTTCATCTTGTACAGGTGCATCTCTCCCAGCTGTGTTCTGGTTAGCACACATCCTGACTCCAGCATGGAGGGGTGATGGGCTAGCTGGTGTGAGGGATGGGCACAGTAGGGATTGGGTTCATTCATTGCTCCTTGGCAGGCTCTGTAGCTGAGGCTACAGTGGCTATTTGCTGGTGTTGCTGGTTAGGTTCAACAGGAGTCTTGTGCTTGCAGTCTTGGCCCATCTTCCCTCCTTAAGTGAGTGATTCTCCATGGGTGGGGTCACTGATGGATTTGCAGGTTTTGGTAAGATCCATAAATGTGTTGCTAATTGCAGGCTCCAACCCAGGCTTTTCTTTCAGATGCAGTGTTCAGAGCAGCTCTCTCCACTGGGAATGTGGTTGCTTGTAGCTGTCCACCTTTGTCATCCACGTGGTCTAGGTGCCACCAGAGTCATTCCAAGCAGCTGCCTGCTGGCATCAGTTACACAGCTGGAACAGCTGGGATTGTCCTGGCATGGAAGGATACCTGACAAGACCAGGGAGCTTACCTGTGCATAGCCTCACTCAGGATGTTGGGTTTTCTTGGCATATATTAAAATACAATGTATTTATCTCTTTTAGTTATGGAGGACTTTGCTACCCCTCTGTCACGTTCAGCTGAAATTGTCCAGAAGGTTCCGCAGATGTGGAAAAGGAAAGGGAATGCATGTGCACACACAAATCTCATTTCTTAAGAGAAACCCTCCCTCCTATCCAAATGGCCTTACTTAATAGAGAAGTTTTCTTAAAGTGAGCCCAGTTGTTTTGGCTGACTGCTTGGGATATAATCTTTGAAATGATTGACTATGTTAAATCATGACAATTAGGTCTGACCATTAACCTCCCACAGAGCTGATTACGGGGATGGGGTGATGAGGAAGTTTTTTATTTTTCTTAGTGCTATTGTTTCAGTCTGTTTGCAGAGTAAACACAATGAGTGTGTCGGTTGATTACACTGCAGACCATCTCTCAAGCCGGAGGAGTCGGCTATTTAGTTCTGAAATGTGAAAACTTGTGTTTTAGAGAAAATTTGCTCTGCAGAGGTGTTGGGAAGGCTCTAGGTCTATGCACCTGTGCCTTTCCAGCCATCTCAACTGTTTACTTACTGAGTGACTGTTTCTAGAGTGTTTATCCCCTTTACTTTAGTTTCTACCCAACACAGTCATATACATACCTCTGAGACTGCACTCTGGTCGTTTCTTTTAAGGTTGTTTTAACTAAGTTAGAGCAGCAGAGATTGAATCCTCCCCTCCAGTATTTTTACGGACAAGCACAGCCCAGCTCTTAGAAGATAAGTTTTTGAAGGGCATCTTGCCTTTAGTGCTCATAAATTGGTTCTGTCGAGGGCTGTGAGTGCTCTGAGTAACAAAAGGCAGTTATTGACTGTAAGGGAAGATTGCTACAGGAAGAAGGGTGAGTGGTATTTTGTGCATTGCAATGGGCAGCCGCCCATGCGGCGAAACAGCCCGGATTTAGCTGAAGGGGAGCTTTGTTGAGGAAAGGAGAATCCTTGCCTGGAATAATTGCTTCTGAGCCAGGGAGAATTGACTACTCCAGAGTGGGAACAGGCCTTCAGCTACCTCTGGCACAAATAGTGGGGCTGTTGCAAATCTGATTTGACTCACTAACAATAAGGCATTGAAAAGGCAAGCAGACCTAGTAGTTCTCTCTGTCTTTCCCTGGGCTCCTAATTTATGCTCATCTTAACTTGCAGAAGCAGGCCTGTTACAACACCTATATATGTGGAAACACGAAGGACAAAAGTCTTTAGAAGAGGCAGCAAAAGGTCAGGCAGAAAGGTCCTCAGGAAAAAAAAAGAAGGAAAATTCTAAAAGTCCAGTTATTTTAGGTGAAAGAAAATGATAATCTGTACTGTAATTGTTGGCTGTATTTTCTGATACAAAGCTACAGAATGCTCTCTTCCCCCGTGGAGCTCATATAATTGTGCTCTGTGTACCAGATGGATTATTTTGTTTTTCATTAAATAAAGAAACTTGTAAACCGTGCTCTGTACCGTAGAGATTATAATCTCCACCATCCCCCTCCTCTTCCTTAAACACTGGAGCACGCACTTTGCAGGTTGGACTCAGACCACAGCGGAGTTCCTGGCGAGGCCCCAGCCTGCTGCTGATCACTGCGGCTGGGGGGCCGGGCAAGGCGCGCTCCCGGCGTCCGAGAGCATTTACTGCGTGGGTTCAGTTGTGCTTTTATCAAATCCTATTTCTGAAAACAAATAAAAGGCTCGTTTGCACAGTGTTTGAATGCCACTCTCTGTGCAACAGTGGCGGTTGGTTGGGTTAGATCTGTGGAGCTGGCACTGCTGCAGGTAGGGCAGAGCAGAAAAAGGAGACTGAGTAACAAACTGGTTTTCACGTAGAAGATGGCAAGAAATGTTTTATGGAGGTCACCAAGAATAACTGCTAGTTTCACCAATTAAGTCAGTATATTTAGTTATTCTGCCATCTTTGCAGCTTTCAAATTTTTGAGATGTAATGTGTTAAAAGTTTCATTGTGGTCCTTGTAACTTAAGCCACGATTCTTGACAGCACTCTTGCAACACCCACTAAGCAGCACACCCTTCACTCTATTATTTCTCTGCTTAATCCTACTGTCTTGTGTAATAGGAATGCAAACTTTTTTTTGCATAACTCTTCTATCCATAAATTTATTGAACAGTTCACAAAAGCAGGTGCTATTATCTTCATTTATGTTTCCATTATACTGGAAATTTCAGCCATGGCTGTGGTGCAGCAGCTTCTCTCACGGTGTACAGAGGCACTGGTCAGTTTGTACCACTTTCAGGCTGGAGGAAACTGCTCTGCTGCAAATCCCACTCGCTAATGGTCTTGTGTGTGTTACCATGGGTCTGTAACTAGATGTGGTGAGTGATAAAGTATGAATTAAGACCAAATATGTCAACTTCTGTTCCATCCATTGGACCCATTGCTCATGTCCTGTTACGGAAAACCTCTCTGAAATTACTGACAAATTGTATTCCAAAAGCAGAGAGTAGCTCAATTATAAGGTGTACCCAGTTATTAAATACTGAACTATTACTCTGTTTAGGTGAACCCTAGATTAGTATTAGATGCTTTTTCTTGGTTTTCATTCATGTCTTATGTCAGTTAAATGTTGGGGTTTTTTCCCTAGCAAAAATACTGGGGAAAAATATTCTTACATTGTTACTTCATTTTTTTTTCCAAATAGTCTTAAAATATTTTGGTAACTCTGTCTGTATATTAGTAAAAATACATTTGAAATATTATCTCAAGATCTGCACACATTTTTTTTGTTAAGTACTGAAGATACCTAATACTGATAAATATTTATGTCACCAAGTGTAATGCAGAGATGCTTGCTTGATGTAATCATATAACTTTGATTGAGCTATTTGATGTTCTTTACCATGCCTTGTGAATAAAGTAATCCCTTCCGGATCACAATTTTATTCTTCCTGTCTATGCAGTAACAAGCGACTTGTGGCCTTAGTGCCAAATGACACTTCATTCAACACCAGACGAGCCTACACCAGCGAAGATGAAGCCTGGAAGTCGTATTTGGAGAATCCCCTAACAGCAGCTACCAAGGCTATGATGAGCATAAATGGTGATGAGGACAGTGCTGCTGCTCTTGGCCTATTGTATGACTATTATAAAGTAGGTAACTCTGTCATTATCCCTCCCTGCTGCGCTAGCAGGGACTACTCTAAGAGGCATCAAAAGAGTCAGTTTTCAAAGACAGAAGTCACTGCATCTTGTTTTCTTTCTGATACTTGCAACAAGCACCCATTCCTTTATAGGAAGCCTGTCTGAATCTGTTTTGATGTGTTTAGTTCTAGAGAGAAAAAAACCAAAATCAGAACTCCCATGTTAAATTTTCAACCGTGTTTTCTTTTTGAGCATAGTGTTGTTCTTCTTCCCTTGAAAGAACATGAATTAGCCCCCTTTTTATTTGTGCTCAGATGCCTGCAATATTCTTAAAGTATAAAAGGGGAGAGAAGCCTTGTCCATCTGTAGGTTTGTCTGCTTTTCTGGTTCATTCCACATGTGTTTTAGTTTGCTCTTTATCTGGAGTATCTCTCATCTGACAGTTTTCCCATGTTATTTTTGTTTGTATAATGATTTCAGTAGGCTGTATACAAACATACAGTGAGGTATGCTAGTGAGATCTAGCCCTTGCACTGGAAGTTTGCAGTCCAAATAGAAAGGTGGAAGACAGAAATGGAGCTGGACATAGAGACAGAGATCTAAGTCAATTTACAGGGGAAGCACTGACACACAGTTTCAGTTTATGTCAGGTTCTAAACCCTGGGCTTTACCTACCATTTCAATAACTCCTTTTTTGTATATTTTATAGTGTTTAAGTAGAATTTGAGATTTCTGCTGAAATTGGAGAAGAATCCTACAGGGTGCATCTCTGTGTAAGGCACAAATATCACTCTGAAACCCATGCTAACCCTTTGGCACTCTCCAAATGGAATCAGTGTTGCTTCCCAAGCACTAGAGTATGAAATTGTTCATTTCACTTTAAACTGTCTCCTTACTCCTGAAGCCACCTATGGCTGCCTTGGACAGTTGATCTTCTCTGAAAGCCAGTACAGCAGTGCCAGCTCCTCTTGTAATTCATGAAGAAGTAACAGGAATGGAAATTAAAAACTTTTGCTTTTAGTACGTTGCTATTAGTATAAATGCTTTTGGAGAATAGGTTCTTCTTCTTATTCTCTGCTACAGTAGTTAGATGAGTGTTCAGGAGAAGGTGTTGTAGGGGAGATGCCATATACCAACCTTAAATATTGTTTTAATTTTTTTACTGATTATATTTCAAGAGATGTTTCTTGCTTTTGTGCGTTCTTGTCAGTAAAGAAAAGCTTTACCCCAGTGAGAAAGAAGAAAGGTCCTTTTCTCTACTTAGCAGAGTTATGACAGTGCCAGAATCTGTGAAATTAATGTGGATTCATAAAATTCAGGATGTATATGAACAACTGGAGTATTGGCTTCTGTCTTACTTTTGTATGAAGCAGTTCATTAATCTGATAGATTTTTAAAATAAAACCAGAAAATGGCCCTTTTCCTTCTCAAAATTATGTTTTAAGAAACATGCTGTTCCTTGTTCCAGGCAGTTGCAAAAGATTTGAGGTTCAGATGGAATGAGATTAACATCTCAAAGCCATTTCCAGCATTCAGTCATAACTATTTTTGTCTTAAACTGGGAAGAAATTATAACTCTTGCTGATACTCTACTCTCAAATAGGAACTTAAAACCTAACTTCTGTACCATAATGTGGAAGTGTAAAGGAGGACTTCCAGTGCACCAGACTCTTGAATTGCCCTTATTTATTGTCTGGCTCGTTTGTTCTGACATGCTGGATAATATTTTTTGAAGTAGTTTTTCCAGTCAAAAGGAATCATTTGACCTTAGCTGTTTAGTTTTTTTAACTTCTTCTATTTCTTATAGTGATATTTACATAAACATAGACCCTCCTTCAGGGATAAATATATGATCTTAAAAGGGGAATCAACATGTGCAGACTGTGGCTTTTATCCCAGTTCAAAAATACATGAAAGAGGATTTTTAACCAGCAGGATGCTTAATAGGGAGAGGGGATGTCTCTAAGAGAAGGAATGGCTCTGACTAGCACTCTCTGACTCTGCTGCTGTCTTGCAGATATAGTTGATATTATTGTTGGCTACTGTGGTTCACTGTAAGACTGTTTTTCCTCTAAATTCAGATATTTTCCTGATACTTTTTTTCTTTAAAATGTCTAAAGATAAAAGGCATGGCTTTAGCGCATTCTTAGGTCTATTCTTACTCTTTAAACTTAACTGCTGTGATGGAGTGGATATGCCCTCTTGTTCAAAATATAGAAGTTTTAGATCTCAAATTGCTGGTTCAGCAAGAAAAGAAAATATGGTCATGGCAGCAACTTTGCCCTTGGTGATTTCATATCTGTGCTGGTGTCAGGAAACCTGTATGTGGGAATACAAATCTTTGAAGTCACTTGTTGTCAATTCTGAGTCTGTCAAGCAGCCAGATTTGACTGGATTTTTAGTTCTCGTAGCTGTTGATGCACTCAACAGAGCAGAAGTCAGTGTTTCTGATGGCATGCTAGCGTGCCCTGACCTGTCCCCATACTAGGAAAGGGAAAGATTCACAAACTTTCCCTAGATATGAGTGCTACACCCTCCAGGCTGGTCTGTAACAGGAGGACTTAGCTGGTGCTTATGGTTTAATTGAAAAGCCTTTTTCGTCTGAGCTAAAATGGTATCCATGCAGAGCTCATCAAAGCATCCTATCTTTCTTCTCATCTTGTATTATTCAGTGAAAAGTGTGTGAGTGTTTTTTGGAATATGAGCTTTGATTTTGAGATAGCTTGGCCTAGCTGGATATTCCAAAGGACAACATAGCAGAGCACTTTGCTCCAGACTGGTGTGCCCAAGAACTAGAAAAGAAAACAATTCCTACATTTTTTCCCTTTGGAAATTTTCGTTCTGTTCACAATCAGTCTCCCAAAGAAAAACAGCTCCTGGCACCTGTGACCTAGACAACACTAGTTGTTACATTTTTCTAATTGTTGCAGTAGAGCAATCTGAAGCTGCAAATGCCTGACAGTTGCATTTACCTGACCCCATGCCTGGTGTTGTTCTCAGGTTCCCAGAGATAAAAGGCTGTTGTCTGTTAACAAAGTGAGTGATAATCAAGAAGACCAAGATAAAAGGTACAGTATTATTCAAAATCATACACCCAGCTACTAACAGTGTTGATTAGTTGTGAACTGAAGGTACTGTGATAGCCTGAGGGTTTATGGTTTTCTTCCAAAAGTTAAAAGAATGAAGGCTATTTTGGGAAGCACACTTTACTCCTTTTTACTTTTAATTTATTCAAAAAATTGTGTAGTATTATCCAACATGCAGTTTTCAAAGTAACAGAGAGTTTCATTATTTGTTTGTGTTTGGTTTTGTTGTTTTGCTACTGCTGATATTAGTAAAATCAGGTTATATTGACAGTTGGCTATGGGCTATTTTACTCTGTTTTCTTCTTCTAGGGCAAAAAATGAGTAGTTTGGCCTGAGTAACCTGATTTATAAAGTTTTATTTAACATAACTTAGGGTCTGCCCAGCAAATAAGGTAACTCTCTTAAAATCATCCACTTAGAATGTTTTTGTCACTCTTCTCAGATTTTAGCTTTTCTCTGTAGGCTAAAAGTGACTTGATTCAGAGGAAGCTTCCTCCTGCCTTACTGCGGACAAGAAAGAGTGTATATTTATGTAGAAAGAACTAAGTTTTTACATACAGGAAGGTATCTTTATGTAGAATTATGATGGAGAGAAGCTACACAAGGTTTATATCAATGTAGCTAATTTGTGACAGCCTTAGACGGTCTCCACTAGCTGGATAAGGTGAAAGTTTAAATAGGTAGTAGTATAAATTTACTGTTTCAAAATAGACTATGAAATGTTTTTTGAGGGAGAGTTTTTCTTCTATGAACACTGGAGAAATTCCTAAATTGAGTGTGATTGACAAAACTGGCCTTCAGTGAAAAGCCAAGAGAGAGGAACTGCAGTGTCAGACCATTTCTCCTGGTTTGAAAACAGCAGTGTTACACCTACTAGAAGTTTTACAAGTTAATAATGTTATGTCAGTGCAACTACTGTCAGAAATGAATCGCTTTCAACAACAGCTGTGGTTAGTCGTGGGAATGCTGATGGAGGTTACCTTGCAGCCACTATAGTTACTGATCTACTCTGCTACAATGGGATTCCTGGGCTTGCTCTTTCAGAAGAGCATTGATACCAGAGTTACACAAACAGTAGTGGCCTGTCAACAGCCTAGAAGAGCATACATCAGCGTGTGAATTTTGCTGTTGATATTCTGCCTATTTCATGTGCAAATTACCTACTGTGAGTAATCCATACCTTGCCTTACTCTTTATTCTTATTTTGTGTCTAAAGGCTGTTGCACTGCTGGACTGATTTTACATCCAAATTGTAAGCCAAGGCAAGAGCAAGCCCGGATACCCAGAATTTATTGTAACAAGCCTTACTGATTGTAGGTCAAACCAAATGTATTGTCTTTCCCGAACTGTAAAGAGCTCTGGACCTCTCTGCTTGCTTCACAATTTCTTTTGCCTAGTATTTGTTAATGTATTACTTCTTATGGCAGTGGCTTATCAGAATTGAAAGACCTCCTTCCCTGATATCTAAGAACGTTAAGCTACTTGAGGAGAAGATTTGCTGTGTCAGGACAGTTCATAACATTTTTTGGTTTTGTCTCACAGAAATTGTCTTAATACCACGGAAGCTCAGAGTAATTTAAGTGGGGGAGAGAACCGTGTGCAAGTCCTGAAGACAGTGCCAGTTAACCTTTCCTTGAACCAAGATCCTTTGGAGTCATCCAAAAGGGAATACAACACAAATGTGTCTGGGAGCTCAACACCCATCACAGGGACCGGAGTGACTGTGGTTAAAGCAGAGGAATTCACCCCTGTTTTTATAACCCCACAAACACACTATGCAAGAGGAGAAAACGAGGAGCACCGAGGGGTTATCTTTGAACCATACGAAGTGTCCAATATTGCTCCCCACACAAATTATCTCAAAGATGACCAGCGCAGTACTCCTGACAGTACCTACAGCGACACCTTCAAGGATGGAGGAACAGAAGTAAGTTTTTCACCTCAAATTACCATCTAAGACTCAATAAAAAGCTGTAAACAAGATACGGATATTTGAGCTTGTAAACAAGATAAGGAGATTTGAACTGTCCTCAAGAGCCATTAGAAGAACAGTGTTGCTTGTTTCAACAAATTCATTTCTGCTCCTTGCTGTGTTCCTGTCAGTCTGTGCTCTGATTACAGGGGAGCATCATGAGGCGCTTCAGAAGACAGTTTTAAAGATGTTTATTGGAAATTCTGAGAATAATAAATATTGATCTTTTTGTCTTTTGGGATATTGTGTCAAGTAGAGGATAGTTGCCATTCTGAAAGAAGATTTATTTACCATTAACAAGATCTGCCTTCAGACCTATTTGTAACAGTAAGAAATAGCAGCTGCTTTGTGATGGGGAAATTCTAGATGCTCTTTTGAAAATGCAAATGAGCAGTGTCAGCTCTGCTGTTGGATAAACCCAACTAATTTGTTCAGAAGCTGTCTGTTGCACTAAGCTGTATTCTGCAACATGGGCAAGTGAGAAAAAGTAGTTGCATTGGATGAGTAGAGGGGAGTGGAGAATATAACAGGCAAGGAAAAACTGCATGTATATGTACAGGAATGAGGAGGAGAAGAGAGAAAAGGAGCTTCCTTAAACTGTTTTACAGTTATGCTGAGTCAAAGTAATTTTACTGTCAGCTTTAGTATGGTTGAGTACCCTCTGGCTGCTTTTGCCTGCTGCAGAATAATGCAAACAAGCTGGAAATGTAGAAGGGTAAAGACTATTTAAAGCTCACAGTACCTCTGCAAATAATTAGAGATATTAGGTGGTAAATCTCCCCTAGGGTTTGTCTCCTCCCAACTCTACAAAATGGTAAATGTAACAAAAGTGCAAGGCAAGCTACCTTAAGGCTGAGCTACTCTGATTGAGTATATGAGAAATTTACTGTGTGTTTGTTTATGTGTATTGTAGAAAACTACATGGTCTTCACAAGCAATAGATGAGGATGTCTGGAGGTGAAATCAATTTTCAGATATAGAACACATGTAGGTAAACTAAGTGAATAATTAATGAAGAAATCTAGCTTGCCATTGTAAAATCAGTAGGATCAAACCTTGAATTAGAGACAGTGCTCTACATTACACATTTTTTCAGCTGTTGATGTTACTGGTAAGTGGCTCTTCATTTGAGCCCGGTGGTGCCAACTCATGGCTTTCCCTGGGGTGCTGTAGTAGAGTGATTCCTTTACATTGGTTTGTTCTGGGACATGTTGCTGAGAGGTTCCCAAACAGCCCATCTGTGCTGTGCAGAGAGCTATCAAACATGCAAACTTGTTTAATTTGGCTGTAAAAAGAGACTTTACATCTGTATGTTGGCTTTGCATTCCAAACTCTGTGTTATGTTAATTTTGCTACAAAGGTAATATTTTGTTACATGCTTTTTAAAGTTATTGGTTAATAGCAGGGTACAGTACCTGTCATCTAGACTTTCTGTGCAGTCTGTGGAGAAAGAATCAGTTAAAATCCACTTGCCAAAAGCAAGTGGAATGGTTTGCCGGGTGCACTCACTCCTCTCCATCTTCACTTCCCCTTTTAACTGTAAAAGGGAGATTGAACAACTGACTTTAGCTAGGTCCCCATCTGTAGCTGTTAGGTGAGATGTATACCCCTGTTGGTGGCCTTCTAGCCCCAAATGTTCACATGGGTGTGGCCAGGGAGCAGGAACAGCTTTTCCACCCTGCTGCAGCCTCGCTCCACACTGAGCCTGTCCCTTTGTTTTTTCTCAACTACCCAAATACCAGGATGCGCTTTGTCCCTGCCATGTGTGCTCTGACTGCTTCTCCAGCCACGCACTGTTTCTGTAGGGACAGCTGGATGAAGCAGGTGTGGGGAGACCATAAAGTAAAATATCAAAAGACACCAAAAGAAATGTGTGCTAAATTAGTGTTTAGAAGTAGAGTATAGTTGCACTTACTAGTTTTCCTGAGTGCTTGGAAAGTACTTCCTGAGTTGCTGAGCATGACTGAGTTTGGAATTGCTCTAATTCCTGCTCAATTTTAAAACACATTATGAATACATATTTAGAAATTGTTTCAAAGCATTTATGGAGTGACTTAGTTCTGTTGTACTGAAGGAGTGCTGAGTTTTTATAGATCCCTGTGGTAGGGGACACTTCAGTCAATCTCTTGCTGTGTTCTTCAGATACAATTTCAGTAATTATATAAATATACCATTCTCATCTCTTTCATATTCTTAGTTAGCTGTGATTAATTTATTAGTCCTTTATAGTATAAACACATTTTTTTTGAGGTTGGGTAAGTAAATTATATATTTTGGACAATGTCAACCTCTAACCTTTATATAAAATGTGACTAGCATATTTATATTCACTCAATTTTTTAGGTATTTTAAGCTTTAAATGGCTGATGATTTCTTCTGAGTTTTCCTTAAAAAAACATAATTATACTTCTCTTGGTATTTGCATTTTGATTGCATGAAACTATATTTAATTGGTTTTATTTTTCAGAAGTATCGGAGTGTGTCAGTGGGGGCTGAAGAATATATTTATGAACAAACAAGGTATGGCATAAGCTTTGAAATGTGTTGACTGGCATCACACAGGCATCTGTTGAGGACAGGCTGTCTCTGTCCACTTCCTACCCTCCCTTTCTTCAGCCTGAGGTGCCTGCAGGGCTCCTTAATGCTGCCAGACATCACTCTCCTCTTGTTCTCTTGCTCATATTAGCTTTCAGATCTGACCAGTTTATATCTTCATCTATTACCTTTCCCTCAGTATTGTTTTACATTAGTAACTCTTCTGAAGCCCCACTGAGATATGTGAGATTAAAACTGTTAAGAGAGGTCCCCCAAGTAACAGGGCACAGCCTTGACAGCCAGGTCATGAAATCCTTCCCACCTTTCAGGATGCAGAAGACAGATGTCCAGGATGGTTGAACTGGCTCCACCAACCTTATGTAATTCCCATCTTTACTTTTCCCTTCTGTTTTTTTTCTGGTTGCTCCTAGTAGGTTTTCTGTCTTTTCACAGAAAAGCTTGTTGTGGTACTTCATATTTACCTATAAAACAATATAAACAAAGTATCTATTACAAATCATGTAAAAAAACTTAAGAATTCCTAAAATATTTTTAGACAGCTTCAAAAATTTAAGCTTGAAAACTATAGTGTTCTCCCTCAGCACAGAGAAATGTATGTGCAGCATGAGCAAATGCTGCAGAGTCCCTTTAACCAATAAAGACTGTAATCACTTAAGTTTTTAAACTGGTGCTTTATTTCTTGCTTGTGAATGGTTCTGTTTATATCTGAGTGAGTACTCTCACTTTAGAAACAGGAACATGCCTACATATTTTTCCTGGATTAGGCATATGACTGCATCTGTGGTTCCCAAATCTTCGTTCACGAAGCCTAGCCATGATGATGATGCATCTGTGGTGAAGGTTCCCTATAGCCTGATCTTTCTTCTGAAGAGGATTAAAACAATCATTAACTGCAGTGAGCTCAGAACTGAGTCACTGTATAGGCAGAACATATGTAATAGATATTTAGCAGACTGCTCACTTACTACGTGGAATATTTGTGAAGTTGAATCCTGAAGCACTGGTATTGTTAACAGTTCTCAGACATTAGGCCTTTCATGCCCAGGTCCACGTTAGAACAAAACCTCTGAATGTGCATTAAGAAATACAAAATATGTCTTTCCTGAAGTGGTAGGTGCTCAGAAATTAAAACTTCAGACTGAAAAAAGAAGTGGTGAATATGAAAGTAATTGGAAGCCTGATAGAAGATCCCTTAATGACTACACAGGGGTTTGGTTAAGACTTGCGCTGAGGTTCAGAATAATATTATAATAATTTGAGTGACTGCAATAAATTTTAAGGGTGAGACTAATCCTCCTGCTATAGGGCACACTTTGACTGCCAGCTGGGAACAAGAAGTAAATTCACAAGTGGTACCACACAGAGACCACATCTGCAAAATTGGCCAAGTGTGATGTGTCTGGGATTTACATTTTTTGACGTCTTTCTGAAACATCCAGAATGACAGGAAACAGAAGACCAGACTGTGGCAGACTGTAGGCAGCTCTGTTCAAACACTGTCTGACTTTGGATCATCCTAAGCCCTTCTCAGCACACATCATCATTAGGCCTTCTGCCTGGTGGGAGGTTTTGAGGTGCATGTCCCAGGGCACTCAGCATGCCTTGATATGTGTTCCAAAGCAGTCTTGTGGCACACAACCTCCAGTGCCTTCATGGGACACTAAATCAAGGCTGTGCCCCTACCACTAATGGGTGGTCAATACATAGGATGAGCAGGATGGATGCTGGGTCTGCAGCACCAGTGGTATTGCTCTTCCAGTCCACTCAACAGGACCACACTGCTTGCCAGTGTCAGCAGTGCTTCTGTTCCCCTTGCACACAGGACAGGACCGTGGTAACACTCCCACAGTAGGTGACAGAGGAGGGGACCACGGGGCCCTTTGTGCTGCCTTCTCACTGTGTGTGAGAGCCTTCATGTTGGCAGCAACTGCATTATTGGGACGTGCCAGTTCTGCCATCAGTAGGTTGGATAGGTATAGATGAGTGTTTGATTTTACCTTAGTTTTGCTTTGATTTAAAGCAACTAGAAAAATGACTGAATTTATATTTATAAGCCAAGAAACACTTAAAAGTTGTCTTTGTTTGATTAAATGATTGCTACTAAATAATTGATACTAAACAATCTGAAACTCTTCCCTTTGGATGGAAAGACAGTGGATCTGTTGGGGTTTTTCTACCTTCTCGTCAAGTGGGGATTTAAATGTAATTATTTTTCATACATTTTAGTGGGTTTTTTCCATTGGATAGTTAAAAATATTTTTGTTTTCTCCTTATTTCTATATTGCTGTGGCAGTACTATGATGATCTGGAGTTCTTTGCTAGAGTGAGAAAGTTAAGGATACACTGTTGTTTTGCATCAGTATATTCCTCCTTTTGATTCTGCTCTGACACTGCTTAAATACTGTGTTGAATTAGGACTTTTGTGAAATTGCTTCTCCCACATCTCCAGTTCATGAGGACACCCTGCGACTCCTTGCATTAAACTTCCTATGCAGTTTGAAGAGAAGATTTTTTTTTTTTTTCTGCATGGTGAACATTATTTTCATTTAAGAAAATGTGAGGAGCTGCAGGCATCGTTTTTATTGGATGATTGTTCAAGCCTGTTACTGGAGGAGGCAGGTGGAAGAGGCTCAGTGAGAATTGTTTCCAGCTAAGAGTTCACTAGGAAGGCTTTAACTTTTCATGATTTAAAAGTGAAAAGTTCTTCTATGAAGGAGGGTCTTTTTGAAGATCTAAAATTTCAGCACAAGGGCAAACCTTTTCTCTATTTTTTTTCTGTTTTTCTAAAAGGAGGTTACTTGGCTGCAGGATGCAACTAAAAGTAGGCACTTTGTTCTGTCTGACTAATTTTGAAAAGAAAGCTTGTAAAAACCTTGATTTGCATGTTGTCTTTAAACAAATAAACTTACTGTCCCTTCTCCTTGAATTCCTTCCCTGCACTGTGCTGAAAGTAGCAATTGGACTTTTCATTCTCCGAGTCCATCTTTTGCAACAAGTTTTATTCTGGTTGGGTTTTTAAAAAATAATTATTTATTTATTTCTCTTTCTGTGACACTTCTAAGTTTAAATGTCTGTGGAGTTTGTGATTTCCTGCAAATCATACTGAATTCCCGCCTGGTATTTAACACTCTCACTGTGGGTTACATAGTCTTGTACTTCATAATGGTTCTTTTCAGAGAAAGTAAAGATGTAGTCTTTGATCCAAGAGACTTACAGTTCAGATACTTTTACATTTTGTTGCCAGATCTGATGAACTTGAAATAAAAAGTGCATTTTTAAATGGCCATGTGACCTTTTCCTGGAATTTTATTATTAGCTTCTTACGCCTTATGCAATGCATGAAATACGTAAATAAATGGGGACAAAGAGAAAAGGAGAAAGTGATACGGATTTTGTTGATGTTTCTCTCCTTGTCTTTTCAGCAGCACTTTTCAGTATACACTAGAAGCTACCAAGTCTCTGCGTCAAAAGCAAGGGGAGGGGCCCATGACCTACTTGAACAAAGGACAGTTCTACGCCATCACCCTGAGTGAGACGGGTGATAACAAATGTTTCCGGCATCCCATCAGCAAAGTCAGGGTACAGTCCCATTTCTTTCCTAGGTGGGAATGGAGCGCTGTACATAGATGTAGTTGTGGTTGGTTGGCTTTTAATAAATTTTTTTCTTGTGGGAGAGGACAGAGCAAACTTATTCTCATGCTCGATGTAAAGGTGGGAGAGCACCATACTGATGGTGGCAACAAATGTTTTGGGATCTAGTTTTTTCAGTGTGATCTTACAAGTTAATTATATACATATCTGCCTCAGTCTGTGGTTTGGCAGAATGATTATGACACAGAGACTGCACTTGGCACTGATGAACTTATCACTGCCACGATTAAAGTAAAGAAATCCAAGAACAGCTACATCTACTTGTAGTCTACCTTCACTTACTTGTGCACATCATCAGCTGCTTTCCAGTGCATTTCAGATAAAACATGAAGAGTTGACTCCATCCTTTGTGACATAAATTTTAAATCATTTACATTGTTTAAGTATGAGCTTTCACTTGATATTCACCCATAACTATGACAAAATGATTTGCATCTTAAATTCCATGGGGTGGGACTGGAGCTTGTGTATTCAGCAAAATCTACTTTGGGGAATGGGCCTCCTGATTGCCTTGGTAATGTTTTTGAATTAGCAAATCCTAACCCAGTAACCTTGGAATGAACAATGAGCTTCAGAGTTGCTGCCCTGTAAATTTTACCCTGGAGCTGGCAGGGCTGCATATGTATGAGGCTGTGGAAATGTTTCCATCCAAATAAACGAAGTACTGTAAGAATGTGACTTTAGTAAAAGGAACTGATGAAAGTCAGTGTGAGCAATGAAGCAGACAACAACCTATATGTTTCTATCATACATAAAGTTTAGAGAGACTCGTCTTTAACAGAGGCAATGATTTGGAAACCTGGATTAGCAGTTAATTTCTAGCCTGGTTTCCTGAGAGCATGAGGCTGTAGTGTTACACTGTTGGCTAAAGCTGATGTAAGATTTCTCTCTTGCTGCAAAATCTCTTTCCCTGCCACCTGTTCCTTCCCCCTTTTTGGTTCCAGCTCTAGCACTTGCAGAGCTGAAACAGGAGACGGGAGCTCACTGGTCTGACTGAAAACCAGTCCTCATAGGCCTGGTTCAGTGCACAGCCACATGAGTTTTGAAGCTGTGGCAACAGAAGGGTTGAAGTTGTAAAAGAGAGATGAGGCCACATCCTTTTGGAGGATGTAGTTTACAGAAGATTGTGAAACCACGTGCAACTTTCACGATCATGTTCTGTTTGCCAGGGCCCTACTCAGGCGACTCTTGAATTTATTGCCAATTCCATCCAAACCTGACAGAGGTGCAAGAGGTTTTGAAGGTATTAAACCTCTACAAGTTCCATGTAAGTGTTTCATAGAGGAAAAAGATTAATGCTGTCCTTGGTGGAAAAGCTGGTTGGCATGGTCAGATCTGGTTAGTGCTGGCCAGCCAGCACGTACCTGATGGCCAGCCAGTATGCACAGGCATAACTCAGGGCTTGTCCATGGCGTATATTGCCTTGTGCCCACGCAGAGACTGGACATGGAAGATGTGGTGATGGTGTTCAGCTTTTATGCAAAAGGTCACAGAGCACGTGAAGGGTTACAGTGGTGACTGTGTGGAGCGACACAGATCACGAATCAATTGTGATCCAGCTCCTCAGCTTATGAAACAGCTTGATGATGGTTTGACCTTAGTGTCTTGAGACTAAAGGAAGAACAGGAACAAAAGAGGATATTTAAAAGTGATTTTTTTGTTCTCTGTGCTTTATTTTCACTTCAGTTTACCTGATAGGATTATTTATTCATTGTGTTGTGTTTATTTTTTTTGTTTTGCTTGGCTACAGCAGGGATTTTTAAAAAAAACTTTATTGCTTATATAAAATTTTGCATAAAGTTTCAATCTGTTTGCTTTGAATCACACAGTTTAACAAAGGGAATTTAGAACATGAAGTGAAAACCTCAGCAAAACTCAGTAAATACTTACATTGAGTTTGTCATTAAATACAAGTATGCAAGAGTTCTGCTCCCAAGAAGGGTATTTTGACTGTGTATGGTAAAACTGAAAATGTCCTGCCTTAGCCAGTGAGGTGAAGCTCCATAACAACACATCCCTTTCAGTGTAATGTTATCTTCCACAGTGACAAAGAATCTGAACTCCATCGCTTTGACTGGACTCAATCAGAATTGGGGATCCTCTCACTTTGAAATGACCACATTTTAATAAAGGGAACGTAGACTTCTTAAATCTAAGAATATGATTAAATTTTATTTGGACTTTCAGGAACACAATCCTGGGCCTTGCATTATTTTCCAACTATATTTCCTCTGCCTGGAGTCTTTAAGTGCATTGCAGTATTGGACTGGATTAAAACCTAGCAATCTTTTACAACCAAAGTATGAGGACAAGGTGGTGACTGGATCAGCATTAGAAGCATATAGGAGATTTTAATTTTTGTGTTTCTGACTATTAATTATTTTAACTAATGTGGTTTCTGGTGGTTTTTTTCATAGAGTGTGGTCATGGTTGTTTTCAGTGAGGATAAAAACAGAGATGAACAGCTGAAATACTGGAAGTACTGGCATTCCCGGCAGCACACAGCTAAACAGAGGGTCCTCGACATTGGTAAGTGTAAGAGGATCTCCAGATGTTTCAAGGAAGATTTCAGATATGGAAAGCTCTGATACCTTGCACAGTACCGCAGTTTTTGCCAATGGCTCATCCCTGCTAGGACTGGACAACAGGGACTATGGAGCAGGATAGGGAGCATGCAGAGGGAATGCTTCTCAGTAGTTACACAGAAGAGCTGCCCCGTGCATGTGTATTTAGTGATCCACCTTCTGCAGCTGGGAAGTTGGGGTCTGCATCTCCTCAGGAGTGGCGGAATGTTTGTTTTCTTTAGTTTTTCAAAGGCTGATCCAGTCTTTGATCCAGTAACAATAGTAGCCAGTAACAGCTGTATTAGCTAATTGATGTGGAAGTGCAGCCTGAGAGTGAGGATGCCATCATCCTGGTGACTGTGAGGGCACAGGACTTCTACACTCGCAGACTTTGAGTCTTGTTGGTGTCAGCACTGAGGGAGAACAAGCTCTGGTGTGCTATCCTGAGAGATCTGTTTACCGTTCATCCCATCTAAGGTATTTACAAGCCTCTTTCAGCCACAGCTGCCCTATCCACATGCTTGGGAGATTTTAGCAGAGGAAGAACACGTACCTTCTACCGAGGAGCCTGAAATTTGAATCAGTGGCAGTGTCTAGACATCAAGTGCTTCTCCCCTCCCACGTGCAGTTTACACATGCAGCCATCTGCAGGATTCCAGTCAAAGGAGTCGGCAAGACCAAAGCAGACAAAGTCTATCTTGTTTTGACCGCCTGAGGGAACCAAACCATTGAATGGCAGGAATGAGAGGAGGCAGAGAGGGGTGCGAAAACAAAGCAGGGTTACTGGTAGAGAACACCACAAGACTTCAGGGGCAATTGAACTGGGTGATCAGGGAATCAGTACCTAAGTGTTTCTACTCACACAATGCCTTTAGCCTTTGAAATGCTGCAGCCTCCGCAGAGCTCCACTTAAGGTCAAGTGTGTTTTATCAAAGCAGCTCCTCCTCCCGAATCTCCTCTCTGCCTCTTATCATCATTGTTCTGGCTGAACTGTTTCCCCAACTTCTTTGGGTTTTTTCCTTTTTTCTTTTCTTTTCTTTTCTTTTCTTTTCTTGCCCTTTGGTATAGTTCAGGCAGTAAAATCACCAAATGACTCCTATTGTGACACCTTAAAAAAGCAAGTGTGTCACATCACATCTGTTTCTGAAGGCTGCCTAGTTTTTTGTACTAGTCACTACAAGCTTACAGTACTAAATGCTCATACCTTTGAAAGTATGCGCTCATGAGCTTGTTCCACTGCCATGCCAACACCCTCTGACTCCACTGCACTTGTAGTGTCCTGGCACATTTCAGTCCCTTTCCCCAATGAGTCAGCTTATGATGCATATTCTGTAAAATAGTGCTCTGCAAAACAAGGGCTGTACATGAGCTGTGTGTTTACCTGTGCTAAAGTGAATGTCTTTTAATTTTCCATTGGTTTGAGATGAAATAGGTCTGTGCTGACTTTTGAGGCACTCCGGTGCGTATGTTTTATTCGGACTGCAAACATGAGCACAGCCCAGTGTAGTAAGACTTACTGATATAGCACTCCTTGTCAGATGTAAGAGCTGTAAGAGCATGGTTCACCTCAGAGTTTTCAGAAGAAAGACCCAGATGTTGCTCAGTAGTGTTTTCTTGAGAACAACTGAAATATGGCCTTAGCCCTTACCAAGTATGGTATTTCTGAAGTACATTTAATTTTCTTTGGCACTTACCTTATGCCTATTTGGTTTATTAGGCCAGAATAGATCCCAACTACATTTCCCATACAAGTATCAAGCTGCATTTAGCAATCTCCCAGATTTGCCATCAAATGATCTAAATGGGAAACTTAATCCAAATTTGAAGCTGGCCCTCCTTGAACCAGATAATGTCTAGGGATTCCTTCCATGCAAAATTATATTGAATGACTCTATGAAGATTTCCCTTTACATTAAAAATTCAGGACCTTGTAGGGGTCCTGTAAAGGAATACTGAGTTACTGTCCAGGCCCTGTGTAGTTAACAGAGAGAATTAGGTGTCTGTATATCTGCATCACCTGTTCCATAAATGTTTATAGTCTTTAATATTATTTTAACTTCATGTTTGTAGCATGTTTAACATCTGTGAATTCTTTTTAATTGTTTATGAATGCACTTTTAATCTAGAGCATGATGTGGTCTTTAGCAGGCAGAAGATCAAATGCCTTTGGGATGCTCTAGTTCTGGGCTCCAGCTGTTCAGCCCTCAGATAAGGGTGGGGACTGTGCTTGTGCTGCTTTCCACAGTGGCACAGGTCTGTCTGTCTGCCTTCTGGCCTGCAGTTATATTTTGGAGATCAGAGGAAATAGTGAGTTGCTGCTTCACTCCAGACACACTGGGGTCAGTCACTGCTTTAATTTGTTTTGTGTACTGGCTGGTGCACCTCCTGGGAGAAAGGATGGTTGAATGGATTAGATGCAGTACCCCGTCTGTAGATGCATTGATATTAATAGCATAAGCTTGTACTTACATGTAAGCAAGTCCTTAGTGCTTGAGGAATAAACCTGAAGGCTTGATGCTTATTAAGCAAGAAGGTAAGGCATTTTCTAAAATTTAGGCTGTGTGCTATAATTGATTTTTCTGAAGAAGGAGGAAGGCATGTTCACTCTTTTTAGCATGGGTAAAGAGGGCAAAAAAACCAGCTGTCTTTTTCACAGTGCTATGACGTTTGATCACTAGCTTTTTCTTTTAAAATAATGTGAAATAAATAATTCAATACTAAGTTGCAGCAAATATTGATTATTTAGAATCAGTAAAATAATTTGTGAAATACCAGGACAGGTTCAAATATGAAGAGTAGGTGTGGAATCTTTGTGCTCCAGAAACTTGCCTATGGTTTTTTTTTGGGGGATAGTTTGTATTATTTATGTGCACTGCTGCTATATATATATACAAGCTACAAAGGCTACTACAAAGTTATGTAATGCATGATTAGTATTTAACATTAAAAATTTGCCATTGTTTACTATGCAGTTTATGTAACACAAGAGGAAATAATTCCTGTACAGCCATTTTCTTGAATATTGAAAAACCCCAACTTTCTGGTAACTCACAGCAGCAGAAGAGGAAAAATTGTAGTCACTCTAACAACTTTCAAATATCCTTGGATGTAAATTCTTTCTTAATCAACTGAAGATCCTTCTTTAATTGTCTGTAAATTGAGAGGAATAGGATACACTTCTGCTTTTTAACAGCATGTCGCATAGACACTCGATGAGATTTGTGTATGGCAATTAAGGAAGCAGAGGCATATGTGGGGGGAAGGGAAAGGTTGGTGGGATGTGAGGTTCTGACAGCCTTTTAGGAGAAGAAAACAAGTGTCTTTACGAGACGTCTTGTTCACGTCTTTCCAAAGTGCACCTACACAGCACGCCCATATGCAGCAGTCAGTTGCACAAGGCACTTTCTGGTGAATCATAAATTTAGAGGTGGGTGGATGTGTGCACATGCATATTAAACTACTTATGTGTCTTCTAATTCCTCTCATTTGCATTCCCATACTGAATTTAGATAGTGAAGCCAATGACTTCAGTTAGAAAGGAGATCTGAGTTCTTGGTGGGAATGAAAAGCCTGCCTGCCCTCTCAAATACTGTGTTAATTTACTACATTACCAAATATCTCGTGATGTTCCTAGGGTCTGAACAGTGATTTTTTTATTGTATCCAAACCATTTATGTGTCCCAGAGACAGAGTTTCAGTTGCCCAGTGAGATGTCAGCATTCTTGTGTTTTAGATGAGAGAAAAGTATACTGATTGCATGTCTCAAATGTTAAATAATCCTCCTTGCAGAAATGGTTTTGTTGTAAATGATCTCATAGCAATTATTATGTAGAAATTATTTTTTAGAGACCAACAGTTTAGAAGAGCAAAGGAAATGAATATTGAAACCATTTGTGTGCCTCACAGAATACAAAAACATCCTCTCTCCATAACTTATTACAAAGCTAAGAATCAGCATGCTTCTAAGGCACAGACTTGGGCAAACATTAGATCAAGGGAGTAATTTCAGCCTTCTGGCACCGAGTCCAGTTACAACCCTTGGGGGATTCTTAGGAAATATATATGTCCCAGAGAGAGTTGATGCATTTGTGTGAACAATCTGGAAGTTCCTTTAATCAAGCAGATATTACCTGGCACTTCTCTTAATCTGTCAACAAAAAGAAGAAAGTGTGTTAAACTGACCAGCAAAGGGAGAGAAAAAGGTGGCTTGTTCCTCTTTTCAATAATAAAGAAGACCTGAGAGTTGTCTGTTTTACATGGTTTTACACCCTTACTATTTCTGGGGGACTGTTGGGTCGACTATGAAATCTTCCTCCCTTTTGCTTTCATTCCTTGCTAAAAGCTACCTTATTGATAATATTAACAGCCCTTTCAGAAGAAGTGAGAAGAAGGTGCAGACTGTGTAGTCAGACAACTTAAAAATACATTTGTTTGGTTGCTGTTTTAGTTGCATAAAAACTTTGGAAAAAGGATCTTTGTGGGTTTGTTTCTTTGCAGTTTTTTGTTGGTTTGTTTTTTGTTGTGGTGTTGGTTTTTGTTTGTTTTTTTGTTTTCCTTTTTTTTAATAGAGAAACATTGATCCAGCACCTGGTGCAGTTCCTAGGAAAGTTGAAAGAGCTTTGCAAGAAATGTACACTACTAATGATATCCTTCAATTATAGCTCTTAGCCTTTTAGAAAGCTTCTTTAGGATTTACTGTAATGCTATTTATTTATGTCAAGTTTTGAACAGTCTCTTTAAATGCTTCAATAGTGTTTTAGTTAATTTTCCAGTTTTGGCCATTTTTTGGCCAAGCTAATGAAATGCACCTGCTCATTGTCACTAGAGTCACACTTACTTCTTTTTGAGAGCAAGCAATATTTTGTTAGAACATCAGCCAGTGATATACTGTGCATATGACTCAAGTTGCCTTGTATTACCTGTTTGCAATTAAGGTTATTAATGAATTATAAACAGCACAAGAGGTAGTTTTGATGTGTTAGAGAACCCAGATGAAGAAGCAAAGATGTACTATGAACGGTGAAAGTTCAATTTTTTTTCATGGGTCTTTTGTTTGTTTGTTTTTTCTTACAGCTGATTACAAGGAGAGTTTTAATACCATTGGGAATATTGAAGAAATTGCATTTAATGCCGTGTCCTTTACTTGGGATGTCAATGAGGAGGCAAAGGTGAGGAAAAGCCATGCAGATGGTATCTCTATATAAATACCATGTATCCATAGTCACTGTTTCACTTCCCTACTTTTTGACATATAAGAAGGGTTGCTGGTAGGTGCCCAGCCTGAGAAACAGTAGAAATTTTTTTCTTATTTGCAAAATCAGGTGTAGGACACAAGGTGAATGTTTTCTTTCTGTAAACTATCAACTTTCTACACTAGGAACATCTCAAATAATCAATACTCTGTAAGTTAGACTATACCTTCCCTTGTGTTGGTGCCATTATTTTTCATAGTGTTACACAGACTGTCCTTGCAATTGGGAACAAATGTATTTTTGAGGACGAATGCATTTTTTTTTTACTTTTTATTTTTTTTAAATGGTCAAGTACCCTCAGGCATGGAGTTTTTCATTCAGGGTTGTGACTGCTAAGTCACAACTGGACCTATAAACCAGAACAGAAGAGTTTCTTACAGATAAGGTTGTACAAAGGCTGTCAGAGTGCTTCAGCTGCATGGACTAGTGTGGGAGAAGTGGAAAGCTGCCGGTAATTCTAAGAAGAAGTTGGCCCCCGGAAGGCAAACAACAAGGGAAATAGGCTGTCTAAAATGAGTGAGGGTAATACAGTACTCTTGGGGATGTAGAGTTACTAAACAGCAAACACTGTTGAGCTTGGCAAACTCCTGAGATACCATTTTCATGTTGAATACAAAATGCCCAATGTTCAAGTAATGCAATGAATCTTTCAAATACAGAGACATCTTCATGCACAATTCCCCACTGCATTTCTAACAGAGAATTAGAGAGATTGCATTGGAGTGAGTGAGTCCTGTGAGAGACTGTGTCGAGCACGGGGCGGTGGTATTAATACTCACTGTCCTGACTCGCTGACTGAAGGTGCTGAGGTTTGTGGTAAGAGGGATTTTCATCTCTGATGCACATCTTAAAAAAAAAAGACAATAGTTCTGAAAACCACCCAGCTCTTTCAAAAGCAGGCCTTGGTAAACAGTTGTACTTGGCCAGTTGCTAATGTAGTTATATTTACTCATCTAATGATTACATTGTCACCGCCTCAGATACTTCCCTGTTTTGTGATTCCATTTCGAACTACAGCTGTATGTTGTCCTCTGCAGTCACAAGAGGTGACTGTTGTGTGTGTGTGTGATCATTATGCAAGGAGATACAGCAAATACAGATTTGGGATCTTCAACACAAACAGACTTTCTCAGGGACCTTTACAGAAGTGCTACCAGGGCTAGAGCATGGCAGTCTTGTCCCTGCTGCCAGGGCTGGCAGTTCTTTGCATTTGCAGCTGCTAGCCAGACTTAGCAAGACACCATGTTGATCTAGAAACAAGAAAGTCACATCCACTAATGTCAGGTGTTAACCTTGGGACATTTTGTTCTAATCTCACACCATTCACATTGCTCTTGCCTTGGGTGCCACTACATGAAGAACACAACTGTTGCAATGATCACTGGAAATAAAACATACTAAGATTGTAAAATAAAGACTTTCTTACTGTTGCTGGACTAAAAAACTGTCAGGAGTGAAATTTAAGCCCCTTGTATTTCTGCAGGAAGTAGTAATTAAAATGCAAATTAGCTTATGCATATTTATTTTGGGGGATAGTTAATAAATATCTGATCTTTTAGGAACTTGAACTGCAAATGTATTGATAAAAGTAAGAGGATTCATAACACGCTTTGGTGTTGAGCTATGAAGCATGAATCAGGCTGTATGTGAAAGGTTACCACCTTGCCTGCAATAAAGTGTCTCCCTCCCTGCACATGTACATGTACCCACTTGCTTGCTCCTGTGGGAGAGTCCAATACAACAACCAGTTGCACTGGGTCTGGGGATTCCCACAGGATGCCCTTGTGGTGTTGGAAAGCTGTAAACTCTGAGGCACGTCACTGAAGGCTGTTTTTTCTCCAGCAATTACCTCATCCAAGAGAGATGAAGAATTTCAAGGCATAATTACAGACTCTTTTCCTAAGCTTTTTGAATGATGATCTTTCAACTGGCTCCATTGTTTCTGCTCAGTGTTGTTTTCCCTTTTCCATCACAATTTCAAGATTAAAACTTAACCCACTCAGAGGCACAATGGCTTTTCTCTTTGGAGTCAGACAAGAGTAGCACAGAGCAGTTCTTTGCAGGGCCTCTGAGATGGGATGTGATGAAGTGCTCTGCTGGCCTAGGAAGTAAGAAAGAAAATGGACTTCTTGTTGGAAGTGCACAGGGGAGTGATCTGGAAAATCAAACAAAAGCAGCAGAAATCGCATATCCAAATATGCCTGTCTCTCCTGGGAGACTAAATCTCGCATCTGGGAAGACCTATCTGGAACATTAGATTTCTCACTTTCCTACTCCACCTGGAGGGCAGCTGATTTAAACCCTATTTCTCCTCATTTAAAGCCGGATTTCTCCTCCCACACATTAGCAGAGCAGACACTCCTCCTCCTCCAAGCCTTTCAGGATGAGGGTATAAGAGCACGGGTGTGGCAGCCAGTCTGCCTGCTAACAGTGAGCCTGCTAAGGGTTGATAAGGCAGCATCTCATGTGGGTCTTATGTGGAAGAAACAGGAATTCAGAGGTAGAGGCCTCCCTCTATTACCCCAGTAATGTGATTGGAACTGAGCTGTCGGCTCCAGCTCCCCATGCTTGGTGCCTTGTCTTTCAGCTGCTGCTTGGCAGAACAAGTCAATGGAAAGCTCATGTCAAGCTGTGGAATAATCTCACTATTGCTTTGTGTGGACTTAGGAAATGGCACCAAAATCAGAAACGCCACTCTGCTGGCGTTTCTTCTGCTGTATCTGCTTGACAGCAGTCCCCTTGCCTTCTGGCAGAGCAGAGTTTGTCCTGGTGTATTCTTACCTTTTTCTAGAACAACATCCTTTTCTACTGGGGCCCTATCTAGAGGTCGCTGTGGGGCTTGTGGTTCAGAGCAGGATACAGGGAAAATAAGGGGAAGACTGTAGCCATGTCAAATTCTACCTTATGCTTCCTTAAGACAAATATATTGTACTGTAAGGGAACAGAGGTAGGAAGAGAAGAACAATTTTGTACAATCCATCTTTGTTTCACTTCTGTATTTAGTTCTGTGTATAAATATGCAACATTTATGGGCAAGGTGATTTGTCAGCTCCCTTTGGTTGAACCTGAATGCTGTGTTTGGTATTTTTAAAGGAGTTCTTTAAAAAAAAGGTGAGGAAACAAACAACAATTAACAAGAACTGAATGACTTTTAGAAGTCTATTTATAATATGCTAGAAGGTAGGTAGTTGCCTTGCTGTTGCCCTACAGAAGATTTTTTTTGCAGCATTTGGCTGGTTGACAAAGTTCTAGTGGAGGCTTTTGAACAGAGTTCAGCTTCATTTTTGATAGACGTTCATCTGTCTGCTTACAGTCTAATCGCTGAGAAGTTAGTTTGCAAGAAAGATAATTATGAACTAGAATTCTCCTGGTCAAAGGAGAATATATTTGTCATAAATCCTACCAATTCCTTGAGATATGCCTTTTCTGTGATTGGTAATTTTCTAATTTAAAGTGGTTAGGACGGTGTTAATTCTGAAACAATACATTAATTGAATATTTTTATGGAAAATGCTTTTTAACCTTAAATTCAAAGATGTTACTTCAGTGAGCAGTTGCTAAAGAAAAATGTCACCTTAAAGACACAAAAAATTACTTTCAGTGATACCAAGAGGTTACTGGTTTCTGCTGAGCACCACAACTTGGACATGTGGTAAAGAGACATATTGGTGGATATATAATTGAGGCAGGTGCTGACATATGCCCTTTGGTGTGCACAGGATTCGTGCACTCTGCAGTTGCTGTGTATACTTGCGTGCAGTCATTGTCCTGCTATATTTAACTGAAATGTAGATCTTTAATCCAAAGCATGCTGAAGCCTCTGGGAACCTTTCCAGTTATTTAATGAGTTTTGGCATAGCCCATACAGTAATAAGCTGTTTTCAAAGAGTGAGTGATTTGCAGGATTAGGTTCTTGGATATTGTGGACCATAGTGAGCTCCAATTCCAGCAGGCACAATGGTAAAATCAAGCTTGTAGAGCAGAACTATCTCTAGCAGCGATTTGTATTGTGCCAATCCATATTTCTTTAACATTGCTAGTGATACTTAGGACAGGCTTTGACTAGTATAAGAATTATTTTGTTCATAATCACAAATTTCCTTCTTAAGTTACATCAAATTTAATTTAATTTAATTAGGAAGGAAATTAACATTTTCTCTACTCTCAAAATTTAAAGGTTGAAGGAAGAGGTGCTTCATTTTGGGGAGTTAGTACCAGAAATTATGTAGGATTAGACTTGGCAACTACTTTAATAATCCATGTCTGTCTGTGCAAGTGTGCATATATATATATATGTGAGACATGCACACACACGTGTATATATTAAAGAAGAGTTAACCTGTGGTAGCACATAATGTTGAAATCCAGTGTATACTTGGTAAGTATGCGTCTGAGATTCAAGGCAAATGGCATTTTTATGTAGTTGCCTGGGTGTGGTGTGGGTTGAGGAAGCTTCAAAAGAGTAGTGCAAACATTTGCTGGAGACATTTATATTGAAATAAAACAAAGGTTTTACCTTTGTGTGGGATTTATAAGGTAACGGCTGGCAGGAGAAACTATAAAACCACACTTATTGTGTATAGGAGGAGTGATGGGATTGATGTTACTCATTTGAGAGACGCGTCATTTAACTCTTTGTTGTTACAGTCTGGAGGGATGAACTTTTTAAAAACAGGGTTTTTAAAGACCCATCATCCAGGTGTAGGTGCTATGTATTACTAGTATTCAGTAGAGAAGTTGCTGTAAGTTTCTGATTTTGTGCCATAACACACTCTTCCCTCCCTTCTGCCCCTGGCTCTTTCTGAGACAATGGGAGCCAGAAAGGTAAATAGTAATGAAAGGCTTATATTAAAAGTTTCGTAACTGTAGACCTTTAAGGTGTATAAGCTGAGAGATCACAGCAGGAGTCATGTTGGCTGAATTAAATGATAAAAAGGGAAATGCACTTCTGAGCCTTGTTTTCTCTTAAGGCAGCTTACTGTGTTTGTGTCTTGTACATCCCTAATTATGCTGCAGTATTTAACAAACAGTCAGTAATTCGCATAATAGCAGCTACACCATGGAGGAGTGCCTTCCCTGAAAGAGAGAGTGCTTTTTCTAGACATGCCATATATCAAACAGAAGAGCTGTCGTTATCTTAGGCCACTTTTGAAACTTTCTCAGCAGCAGATGTTTCTCCAAATTAGTATTTCATTACCAACGGCATGCCTGAGCTGGAGACTAGATAGGTGGAACGCTGCCATTAATTGCTCTAATCTGAGATATACTGACATTAAAAAAAAAGACATCACTATAATGACAACCCAATTGATAGCAAAACATTGTTAAAATCCAGTTTGCACAGGGGAAAAAAAAAGTTTGTAAATTAATTCAGATAGACAGTTATAGTCACTTTTATTAATAGAGTTCTAAGACAAGTGTAGACAGAGCTGGGGAGGGAAACTGATTTCTACTCCTGCTACTGTCATTTCTACTATGCAAGAGACCTCAGGAAGGAGGATCTTAAACCTGGGTATCTGCCAGGAGAAGTAAAGCAGTGCTTTTTCTTTTCATGTCTGAAGATGGGGTTGTTTTGCCCCTTGTCTCAGAAAGAGTGGGAGTACCTGTGTTATGGACAGGAGGTAGAAAGAGAGGAAGATGAGGGTTGTAAAGGGCAAAGCAGGCTGTGCTTGGACAGGCAATTGAAATCATTGCTGCTCAGAGCAGATCACTGTGTTGTGGAGGTGGTTTCTGGTCAGAGCAGGGGAGAGAGAAGGGACTGTCCAGGTTTTTCCCCAGGTCCTCTTCACCATAGCAGCCCGCTGCACCACTGTATTAAAACTGGTGCGAATCTTTAGTTGTGCAAAAAAAAAAAAAAAAAAGAGGAGACCCTAAAATCAACTTCAAGAACAGAAATACACCCTCTTCCCCTTCCCTCTGCACACTTCCCATGTTTTCTGAATCTAAAGTCAGTGTTGTGCTTTACAGGAAAGCTAATAGAATATTGCGTGGAGACAGAAAATTTCCCCCAAATGAATGATCTATGTTAATTCGAATCCATCTGTCTATCTGTGAGGTGCAAATGATATGGCAGAAAGTATAGTACATTTCATGTACATGAACGTACAGTCATTGCTTCTCAGAGAGATCCTGATGTATTACCGTGTCAGGACAAGATATTGAATCTTACAGCACATATCTATTATTCATGCTGAATAATCTGTTATTGCTGTATAGGGACTCTTGAAACAATAAAGTCTATCTTCCCCAGCTGCTCCTACTCTGCTCTGTGATTGTGGAGGCAGTGAAAGAGATGACACACAGTGTATGTAGTTGATTAAGGTGGGACAAGATCTTTTTTTACTTCTCAGCTGAGCATGCAGCAAATGTTGCAGATGTACAAACTGCTGAGTAGATGCAAAGCCTGCATGTTCCCTCTCACGTGTCACCTTAGAGTTTGGAAAATCCTTGTGCAGAAGTATGAGCTAAAGTATAGTGAGACCAGATTTCTGTTTTATGCCAGACCTCTTTCCACTCCTGTATGTTCACATACAGTTTAAACTGTTGCCTTGACACTGTAAAGGAGTCTGAAGGCAAATGAAATTCAGGCTGTTATATTTCAAAGGCATATGCACCCGTATTTATGCTTACCTTTGGAGCTGGAGGAGAGACCAACTTGTAATTTGAAACAGAAAGAACACTATCAGCTTCAAAATCAGAGTTTCACCTAGGGCCCTTCCCCGCCTCCCTCCTCTTCCCGCAGTTAAAGTTCAACTGTTTCGTTTGTAAATGCAGTTCTGTGATAGAATCAGAAGCAGAAAGCGGAGGGGCCATTAGCTCAGTCAGGTAAACAAGCTGGCTCCATCATAAAGACCATGACTGTAATGGTAACTTCTGCCATGAGGGTGAAGTATGCCCCACCAGCCCTGGGAGACCTTCTTTATTCTCAGCTGCCTTTCTTAGGGATGTTGCATTCTGAACAGCCACACAGTTGGTTTATTTTCCCTGTTTGCGGATTAGGGAGGGGTTCCTTCATGCTCTTCCTTCCTGAATCCTCCCAGACCAGTGGCCTACTGCTCCCTCCTCTGCCCAGCAAGGTGTGCATCAGGTCTGTTTGAGAGATCTGTTTGAGATCTCTTCCTTCCTGAGTGTCAGGTTTCACATCCTCTTGTTTCAGGAGATACTGGTAGTTTTCTTTGTCCTTTTCCCTAGTTCACAGTTTTGGGATTTTGTTTGTTTGGCGGTTTGTTTTTCTTTTTAAAACAGAGGAAAAATTAAAAGTAGAATCAGGTCAGTGCATAATTGCCCCAAATTACTATGTAATGCACATATTCCTCACTGGGCAGAAAACTGGATTTTTATCCAGTGTCATTCACAATATCCTGACTGAAAGCTATCAATGGTATTTGAGTTCACAATGCTTGCTTTGCATCAGAATAATCCTTGTGAGACTTTGGTGGTGGGAGATCCTTCTCCCAGGTCCTGTACAGACAGGCAGATGAGACACACCTCGTCCCATGGTACCAATGGAGTTAGAGAGAAGGAGGTGACTAGTGGCTATCAACTGACATAAGTGGTTGTAGAAGAAGAGCAAGAGGTGGATTTCTGAAGCACAGACAAGTAGGGGGCTTGCCAGAAACAGAATGCAATGTCAAGTTAAGTGGTTACTACGTGACAAAGAGGATTTTTGAGAAGAGGTAGGCAGTAGTTTTATCAATGAGCTTCCCAGTTTGAAAGACAGGATGAGATGCATTTTTGAAATTGAAAGAAGACAATGAAGGACCCTTGAAGTAAAAATCAAGGGTATCTCTTGATGGGATGGAGGAAGGGGTACCCCTGATGACAGTGTGAAGAAAATTTGTAAAATAAAAAAAAAGGGTATGGCTTATCATTGCCCCACTGAATTTGAATTGTGAGCTGTCAGAAGAACGAGCCAGACCAAAGGCAGCTGGAAAGGACAAAGCAAGATGATCTCTGTCTCTGGAGGTTTTTAAGGTGAGACTGGATGTGGCACTTAGTGCCGTGGTGGTAGTGGATGAAGGGTTGGACTTGATGATCTCCGAGGTCCTTTCCAACCCAGCTGATCCTATTTGCACTTTTAACAAACAGTGCAAACATACAGAGCAGATTTCTAGAATGAAGCAAGTCAGGGCTAAAGACTTGACATCCACGCGAACCACATTTTAGGAGGTTTTAGATTGTCTTTAGTCAGTTCCCATGGACTGAGCAACCATTAGCAGCTGAAGCAACTGAGGAGTGCTCACAGAACGCAACTTCTGGTCTGGCTCTTCCAAAGAGAATCCAGCTCATGTACTCTGAACTCTCTGGTGTGAACCAAAGCATGGTAAGTTGGGACAACCAAATGATTCAACTCAAATGTGAGCTTCTGATCCAAACTGAAGTGCTGATACATGCCTTAAAATTTTGTCCTACTTCACAGGATGGAAGCATCTTTGTTGGATTTAGGACAGAAGTGGAGAACAAATGTGTGAATTGCCAGAGAATGCATCATAGCTGAATTAGTAACTGTTGGGTTTTTTGGGGGGGTGGGTAGGGTGGTGTATCTGCTTTTGTTTTCCCATTTGTTTTCATGTGTTTCTGGAAGTTTAATCATTGTTTGTACCACATTTTAAAAGTAATCTCTCTGGCACACAGATTTTCATCACAGTGAATTGCTTGAGCACAGACTTCTCCTCACAAAAAGGAGTAAAAGGGCTTCCTTTGATGATTCAGATCGATACGTACAGCTACAACAACCGCAGCAATAAACCCATCCACCGAGCCTACTGCCAGATCAAGGTCTTTTGTGACAAGGTAAGTGGAAAGCACAATTATTGTGGATGGAGGTGGAACCTTGTTAGACAATTTATTATTGCGATATTTTAGACCTAATTAAATGTTTTTTCTTTCCCTAGAGAATTGTGTTTCATGGTAGCGTTTGTACAAGCTATGTCACAAATCTAGCAGATTATCATGTAATTATTTTACTGCTTTGCAGCCTTTTTGGCCCTGATTCCTCATCTGGTGAGGAATAGTTGGATTTTTTAAGGACAGCATGTTTTAGGTCATGATGCTGGAATATCAAAAAAGTGAAAAAGTACAAAGGTAAAGATCTCTGCTTGGCAGGTCAGTGCTGACGATAGGCTCATGCAAGTGCTGGTCTGGTGAGGTTTTCTCTCCTGGCTCTAACAGCCAGGATAGGTAGCATGTAAACTTTGTGGAGATGCTCTTGACAGAGAAATGCACCTTTCAGTAAAGGTCTGCTAAACTTTCTTCTGATGCAGTGGAAAATGACGAGTCACAGTGATGCAGCTGATGGATTTCCCATCTCCCTTAATTACAAGACCTGATTTTGGAAGCTTCAATGAGACTTTTATGTTGCTAGGATTTTCTTATTAAAAGTAAACTGCAAAAATAGATTAGTCTTTCCCATTTTGTAGTTCAGTAACTACTTTTTGTGTGTACTCACTCCCTCTTTTGCAAAATTTTGTTCTTTTACAGTACATTTGACTGCTCCTTTGTGAGAAGTGGTAAGATTTTTCAGCACCCAAACATGGATCATGCCTTAATGAGTTAGACAATCTCGTGGTCGGCTGTATATATCACCACGTAGAAACAGTCACTCAGAAATGTTATGTCAGTGGTAATTCTTAGAAGAGAGTGTGACCACTTTTTGTTTAACATCTTTATCATCTTTATCATCTTTATCCCTGCTGAGAAAGATTTTCCATGGGGGAGCTGATGCCTGAATTCTAGTCAAGGTTCAGGGATTCAAGAGTCTACATCTATTTAAGTGACTGGGAAATTTATCCAAATTAGTCTTGCCATCTTACAGGTGGGAATAGAAAGACAAAGGCCATGCTCCAGGCAATATGTAACATTAACTTTTTAATGGAAAGGGTAAGAGTTCAACTGTTCCAGGACTCTGTGTTGCTGCTCCTTCCCCCTTTTCAATTCATTCCCTTGTTGCAGTCTTGACAACGGGATCTTGAGGGCTAATCAGTCAGTTGTGTTGGTGGAGCAAAATCTTTGGAAGTAATGAATGTAAATGTATGCACTGAGGTCTTGCAGTCAAAATGCTATGCTTTTAATTGTAACTTTGAATGTCAAATATTTAGAGATTTGAAGCTACAGCTGGATGTTAAAAGCTCAGTAAATATCAAAGGACAAGTAATTTTCATATACTTGCTTTTGAAGAGCAATTAGAAAAAAATTGAATTATTTAAAAAAAGGAAGGAAATTCGGAGCACAAACTCGTCAAGGGTGACCTGTAGATACAGCTGGTGGAGATTTTGAATAATACATGTTGGTTGCATCTATTGGCTTAATTGATGCTTCAAATATCGAGACTAGAAAGCAGGAAATAATTGTTGAGTCTAATAATCAAAACTGTATCAAAGCAGAAGAAAAGATCAGAAGGTTGTAAAAGCATTATACACATTAAAACTGTATTGGAAGTGGGAACTGAAGGGCTCAAGGGTATCAATAATGGGATATATATCTGTTTAATATAAATGTATACATACACATACTGCTTTTTAACTTAATGTAGGTGTGAAAATAAGTTAAGTGAATTGAGGTCAAAATTATTGAGGTCAATTCACATGACAATTCATGCTAATTGGCACTTGGAAGGAGACTGAGGCTTGCCTCTCCCTTGACTTATGCTGCCAGATCTTTACCAACATCCCTTTGTCACAGGGCTTTCATAAGTAAACAAATGGTTGGAAAATTTCCATTTGCTAGTAGTGCTGGGAGAATTCATCATGCTCAGAAGAAGGTAGCTGGTGGGGCTTGGCATCCTTATCTTTCCAGTATGTCAAAATAAAACCTTGGCACTTGTTAAGGTGGTGCTAAATGGTTCAGCTTCTCTTGTCAGCCTGTAGCTCACCCTCCAGGGACATGAACAGGGCTTTCTGCCTCTTTGGAAAAGGCTATGAAGCTGAGATGGTTATTGCCCACCTCTTTGTCATGATCAATTAAAGAGGTATTAATAGGACCATTTAAAAAAACCCAGCAAACATATAATAATTTTTATAATGATAAAAGCGTGAACTGCGCTGTTGTGCCCCAATCTGACAACCTCAAAGAGAAGCTGATGAGAAAAGAGCCTGATTTATTACAGTCATCTGGATCAGTGGAACTGCACAGTAAATAAATTAATGTCCTGTAGCTGAAATACAGCATAGCTGTTGTGGAAAGAGTTATCCCTGAAGAAATAAAACTGCATTTAGTTAAGTGGTACGTATTACATGTATTTTAGTATTTACTCTGGCAATTGTTTAATTGTAATACTAATTTACATATATAAACTAGGGAGTAACACCAACTTACATCCAGTGTGTGCTTTGTGACATAAATGTATGGAGATAAATGCTGCAGAGGTTGTAATTGTGTCCTTACTCTCTATTCATTCTGCAGTCTTTTGTCTGTGTTTGTTTTCCATAGGCAATCTTCAAAGCATCTGTTACAGTGCACATCTCATTTTCTCAGTGCTATTTCTCTCTGCCCTTGTAGTCTTTTTATCCTGTGCAGATTACTTATGCTGCGTTATGATAAGAATATATAACTTTTATTCCTTAAGTAGGTTGTCAGGGAAACTTGCTACCAGATTTATTTATATTTATATATTGCAAGATACTTTAGCCACTGTGTATGAAGGAACTTGGGCTTCAGAGATACTTTGATTTTCTTTATGTGATTAGCTTTGCTAAAAAGAAGCAGAAGCATTTGACTTGGCAGATACCATAACATTGTTCCAAAATAAAATAAGTGAATCCAGTTTTCTTTACTCTGAAAAACCATATGTTCTTTAAAATATATGCAGTTCCTGCCTCTTTATCTTCAGTATGTATCGTCACAGAGAACATGGATTATCATAGGGTATTGAGCAATTTCAATTGCCTATTAATCTGCAGCTTTAGGCTGAAGTCTATGTGCCTGCCCTACCAGATGTGAAATACTTTGGCCTAGAACTACAAGCAGGTGTTTCCATGAGTTTTTATAAGGATGATGGGAGTGGTCCTTACCATGGCAAAGGCTTTGCCAGGCTGGAGCTGGAATGCAAGACTTCAGCTTAAATGAGTTGAAAACTTAAGAAAAAAATATTTTCAATCAGCTGAAATTCATAGGCCGCATTTAACTAATGGTTAGTAGCAGAAGTACTAGTAGTACTAATTGCATTTATACAAAGTCAATATATATCAATGAAAAACTGAAAAACTCATTTCATTATTTCACCGTTCAGAGCCTAGTTTATAGTCCCCTATGAGAGGATTATTTCTTGTGTTCTGAAGAGACATGCAAACTGTGGTTTACTGGATACGTGTCAGATGGCTCAGCTGTCAAAACTGTGCAGCGGAAATACTCTTGTATGCAAAAATCATTTTGTGGTCCATTGTCTCAGCCCCTATGACAGTGACGTACATCATGTAGGCTTGGCTGGCCCCTGCCATGTGCCTTGTGGGTTGCTCCTAGCTCAAAAGGGCTGGTAGGTAGTTCTGTGGGTATTGCAGTTGCCTCATTTGTAAAGTGGCTGTGGCACAAATAAACACTGGGGGGTGGGAATGGCTGCCCTGCTCAGAGATTGCCTGTGTGCAAGAGAACTTCGGGGTATCTTGCCTTGAATGAATAATGAGAGAGCTGTGAACCTTTACCAAGTTCATAATTAAAAAGAATATCACAGAAAATCAGTACAACATATTTTTTTATTGTGTACAAAGTCTGAGTCCTCCTCAGTTTCTGTTTGCCTGAGAGGAAGCTCGTGCTTGCTGCCATGTATGAAATACTTTCATGGTTCCTCCTGTTCCCCGTGAGCAGCAGAGAGGCAGCACTGAGGGCAGGTAGGGCTGTGGCCACCTGGCAGAGCCCTTTGTGCAGCACAGGGCTCTCAGAAATGTGCCACAGGACAGTGGCTGTGATGCATATTTTTGCTCCTTTCTTACAAAGAACAGATGGCCTTTAAAGATACAAATGTACCCTTAGAAACAGTTTTGATAAGGGCACAACTCTGGCGTCTGCAGTTGAGGTCAGTGACAACTGGACTGGGACCTGGGTCTGGAGACAAGGTTTCTGTTTGACATCTTCATGTTTTTTAAAGAGCTGTTTCTTCCTCCATTTATTTCAGCTTCTGGAAATCTATTGCTAGATCACAACCAGGAGTACATCTTTCCTTGCATTCTTTTCAAGCTTGGTTCATTGGCTCATGTGTGAATTTTGCCATCTTGAGTGGGTATTTTTGGCTTCCTTACCTCCCTCCCCCCCCTTTCTTTTCAAGAAACTTCCAATTTTAATTTGGAAAAAAAAAATCTGTAATCTTGCATGCCGACTGTCTGTGAGCATATGGATCTTTAATACTCTTCACAATGTGATGGGTATTATTTATAAAGTAAATCCAGAGAACTTCAAAGGAGGTGTTGCTGCTTTTTATGTCAATAACAAATTTTATTTTTTAAACTGGTTGAGAGTGTATTTACATAACAGAAGCCTGCAACTTCCCAGGACTTCCTGGTGCAGTAGGGCAGTGCTACATTGCTTTGCCATTTCTGGAGAGCTTTTCCCTCTTTGAAATGCCTGTATTTTTCTGTAAGAATCCTTGCACTGTTGGTAACCTGTCAGCATAGGCTTCTTGCACTGTCAAATCTCAAAGGCCTCTGCACAGTTGGCCACAGGGAAGCAATGCCACCCCTAGACAAAGTGGGTGGAGGAGAGTTTAGGGAAAAGCTTATCACAGACATGATCTAGGATGATAACAATCCTGCAGGTGTTTTATGCCATTATATACACAAAGTATTTGGCCTGAGCATTCTGTCCATTGCAGAGACACTGGGCTTTGCAAAAGTTGTGGTGGCATCAGTCCTGCTAGAGACTGCACGCTGCATAAACTGTCCATCCTGGCTTTTCCAAACCAGTGTATGGATATGTTCCCCTTGCTAACTGCAGCCCTGGGAGCTGCTGGTTGTGCCAGCTTGAGTTTCAGGCACAGGTGATCAATGTGAAGCTTGTACCTTTCCAACAGTGTGGACAGATTTATCTGCAATGGAACAACCAGTTTCTGTTTCAGCATTTCTTATATGTCAGCCGCTGTAGTTCCAGGCATTGCTAACTACGATGCTCCCAGTGGTTCCTCTTTGGGTAATAATATCTGTGGGTTGTCTTTTTTACACAGGGAGCAGAAAGGAAAATCCGAGATGAAGAGAGGAAGCAGAACAGGAAGAAAGGCAAAGGCCAGGCATCCCAAGCCTCGTGTAATAATGGTGAGTAAGATGGGCCTTTCTGGTTTGGGGCTAAGTCACGCTTAACATGCCTCCTCTCACAACCATGTTGTTTTGTGATCTGCAGCTGAAGGGAAGCTGAGTGCACTCCCTCTGCAGAAAAAGAGTGATATCACCTTCTTCAAAACAATGGCTGACCTGGATTCCCAGCCAGTTCTCTTCATACCAGATGTTCACTTTGGAAACTTACAAAGAACTGGACAGGTAGGAAATCATAATGAGATGAGCTGGTGCCCACTTGCCATCTGTCTGCCTCTGCTCTAGGGCAGGTTTCAGGAAAATAAAATCACTGTTCTGGGGGTGCTTGTTTCAGCTCTCGTTTTTATAAAAACAACTTTTGGTGTCACATATACAAGAGTTTAAAAGGGATAAGTACCTTTCCAAGTTCTGGGTGTGAAGAAGGAGTTTATACTTCATTGACAACTGACTAGTTTGTGTTTGTTATGGTTTTGTTATTCTTTTGCTGGGAAGAAATAATGGAACAAATAGTCAAGAATTTTGAAATAGGTTGATCTGTGACTGAAACAAAGTCTGGTTTTGAGTGTGCTCTTTGGCTAGATGAAATGAAGTGCCACCTTGTGGTAGCAGAGATCCCCCTCCCTGTCACAACTGAAGACAAAGACCGAGCTCTTACATGTATAGGGGAGGTCGAGAGCAGGGTCACTGAACACCACTGTCCGTTTTCTGTTGGCATTATCTAGAGAACTGGAAATTCCTTGGAAAAAATATTTTCACTCTACCAAGTAAAACTCTGTCATGCTAATGTTAATATTCAGTATTGCCAATTATCGTAACCAGTAAACATTAGGAAGTCTTTGCTGACTTGACTTTTTTCTACTTTATTGCTTGCTGGAAAATTGCAAACCTGAATTGGAGGGTCAGCTCTGACAATTTTTTTACTATGAACTTGTTATTTATTAACATCTCAGGGAGTAGAATGAGACTTTTATGCATGTGTTTAAATATTAAGATGATGAAGATTCAATGACACTGTTGCAATTGTCAGTTATTTTAAAGCAGTGAGAATTGTGGTAGAGCAAAGCACAAAGAGCGCAGCCATTGCAATCACAGCTGTCACTGACTTACTCTCCAAAATTGGAAAGACGCCCACTCACATATCAGTGCTGGGTACCTTCTGTCCTCATGATTTTCAAACCAGAATGTGGATTTGTCTTAAGACAGGAGAAGGTGGAAGCATTCCTTAGTAAATGTAATCCTGTAAATAATTTTCTAAACTAACTGGAAGATACCCCAGTTTCCTAGCTCTTAGGCAATGTTCAGCCATGTCTTTTATTGCTGTAACTCATAGAATGAGTTACAGACCTTGGCTTTGCACACACACACACCTCTGAGCTATTTTCATTGTGCAGGTTCAGAACCAAAGGCTCTCAGTGAGAGCCAAGTGTGCTCTGAGTCTTGCCAGCACAAGTGCTAGAAATCTGTCTGAGATGCCTTGCTCTGCCCCAGCAGAACACAGAGCTCTGGTGCCCTGCCTTCAGTAGCTCAGCAGCGGGAGGGCTGGTACACTTGTTGGTGCAGTCCTGCAGTGCTGGCACAGTGCAAGGAATTTGGCTGACTGTTGTGTAAAGCCTCTGACAGCAGACTGTGATTTTATACCTCCCCTGCTATTGTTAGCAGCATTTGCTGCTGTTGTAAATTTGGTCCCAGTGACTGTGAGCTGTTTGGATTTACACAAAACAGTGGTCTGGATTTGAGCTTCTGCTCACAGCCTGCACAAAAAATGTTCAGCTCTACCATTAGTAATTGTATATCCATTAGACCTGTAGTTTAATGTAGCTCTCTACAGTTTTATTAGATTTTCAGATAGTATTAAAGACATAGAAAAGTTTGAAAGTGTTGTGGCTTAAACTGTATTAGGGTTAATTTAGGTGAGTAGTGATGATCTGATTTAGAGGACTGTAAAATAATTGGGAAAATATATGAACCAGGGGAGAGGACAATGCCTTTCAAAAATACTTTGATATATTTCCACTAGATATTCAACAGCAGTTTCTCTAAGCCACCCTTTTTCCATATCACTATTAGAATTTGAGATGGTTTTGTTTTATAGAAGGAAAAGGATTTTTAATACATGAAAAACTGCAAACCACTCATCTTTTCTGCCTTTTGAAGTTATTCTGTTAAAGAAATGTCTGAGTTTTGGGAATAATTGTTGGGTTTTATTTCTATCCTTCTAGGTTTACTATAATACAGATGATGAGAGAGAAGGGTAAGACATTCATTGTTTCACAAGCTTTACAGTTAGCGGTTCAAACTCATAGAAAGAAGACACAAAACACAAAATAAGATAAAACTTTATCCTTTCTCCCCCTTCCCTCATGTTCTCCCAATGCTTATGGAGGGTGAATAATATGTAGAACTGGTAGGGGGAGGTTTGTTTTGTGGTGTAGCTTTCTTTCCTTCATGTGAACTGGCTGGTTTTTATATCTGTTTTTTAATACATTTCTAAGTAAAACAGTTTAAAGGACCATAAGGTTCAAACAGGGATAGGACAATATATTTGATAATGAAATGCCTTTTATATGTGCACAAGGGTTCTCAAATACTTTAAAAACCAGGAATCTTTTAATGAAGCACCAAACTTCACTGCATTCCTGAAAGCTGTTTAGCAGCACACAAGTGACAAATACAGGAACTGCAGAGAGAATGGCCAAGTGCCAGAAGCAGAAAGAGAGCGGGAGATCCTGGAAAGGGGGAGGGTTAGAAATGGGAGCACCCCCTATCTGACTTTGGAGGGACTGGAAGAATTGATGGAAGTCCCTCTAATAGTTAAGAGATGCCATGAAATAAGGGCTTTAATATGGGTGGTTGAGGTTCAGCCCGCAGTGTGCGCAAGTCCCGTACTTTTGTGAGTTGCTTAAATCCCAAGTGAGCACCCTTAAATCTGAGAGTCTGGAGTAAGACAACTGCAGTCCCATAAACCTGCAAAAAGTGATCTGTGGTAGGGAGTGGCCAAGCACTACCGCTGACATGGACTTGAAAACGTGAGGCCCTTTTTATTTCTTTTATGAAACTTATATTCTTCACAAGGCTCACAGTGTAATTTGAGAAACAAAGGGGTTTATTGTGCCAAGCACTTTAGCTTCAGTTCTCTCCTCCAGGACTCCAGGTCCTGCCAGAGCTATGACAAGCAGAGGGGGCAGCCGTTGTTCCTTCAGCCCTCAACTCCCCTGATGGAGCATGTTGCAGCTTTGGGTTGGATCTGACCCAGCACGTTATTCCTTTTGAATTTGCTGGCTAGTATGGTCTTGGATTTTAGAGATATTGCTTGTGTTTCCTGAGGCTGTGTCCTTTACCCCAAAGAGGAGGTGAATCAATGTGCAGATGTGGATTTGGTTCTTCCTCCTCACCCCCCTTCCCTCAGTATTTAACAGTTAAGGGCTTTTGGAATTTTCAAATTAGTGAGTAACATTGGAACATATTTTCCTGTCACCTGTCCCAGCCAGTCAATCTGGGTAATTAAGAGGCCTGGATAGTTCAGATAAGCATCAAAAGCTAAATCCTTGCAGTTTCTGTTCTGGTGCCACTTGAGCAGCTAGTGGGTGTTTTTGCCAGAGTACAAAGTGAGTCATGACTGCTGCTGTTGTCTCCTCTTCTTCTGGGAGCGTAGTTTTACTGTGACATGGTTCCTGTTTTGTGTATTCTAGTAGCAGTGTCCTGGTCAAAAGGATGTTCCGGCCTGTGGAGGAGGAATTTGGTCCATCCCCATTGAAACAAGTGAAAGAAGAAGGCCTGAAAAGAGGTAACAGTCAATTAGCAGTTAAAAATAATTCTGTGGAAGTCGAACCCTCAAGCTTGGAAGGGAGGTGTGGCTCGGACAGAGTTAATTGTTGAATGCTAGTGCAAATGTAGGTAGATGGGAGAAGAGATCTTTGCATGCTAGAAATGACTTAAAAGCAGAAAAAATAATAATTAAAAAAAAAAAGACTGTGCTTTCTCAAGAAGGGATCAGGACACAAGTGTATATAAAATATAAAAAAGCTGGAAAGTTTCTTGATCCTTGGCCAAGCTACATAGTTCATAAATGTTCCAGTAGCAGATCTATGATTGTCTATTTTTAGCTTTTACTCATCTTTTCTGTTCTGGTTGGGATCACAAGCAAATATGCAAGATGGACTAGGTCAAATACAGAGACCTTAACAGGCAAGCTCCTGCTGACTGCAGACTTAGATTAGCTGGAATAGAGTCTTAGAAATTTCCTACCCAATCAGAAATATAAGGCATGGAGAGACATCTTCCATTAGAACTAACAGAATTTTAAAGAATTTGTTTCCCTTAACTTTTTTTACTGTCTGAGTGAATATTATTACAATTACATTTCATATGCTTTACCAACTCCTGTTTTGCCAGTCTGCTACAAGTTAAGCTTAAGTTGAATAACATTGAAGCAATGGTTTAGGTAGAGCTTTTAAACTTTGCACTGAAGGTGGGTTTGTTCACAAAATCAGTTTTGTGTGCAGTCCCTTCCAGTGCAGTGCTATCGGTGATAACTTCCTACACTGTCACAGTTAAACACCCTGGACAATATCTGCCATTCCTTCAGTCTCATGAGTTCTGTTATATAAGTTTATTGGAGACTCCAGGGGTTTGACCAACCTACATGACTCAAACTTTCACCTATTTTGAAGTTCACCCATCGGTTTGTGAGACAACAAATCAACAAGGCACAGAAGTGATTCTTAGTTTGACCATTTGTAAGACTCCTTTGAGCTTTATAGAAATAACTTCCCACGAGCCTACATTTGCCAAGTTTCTGGGTTGGTTAGAGTGGTGTACTTGAACCAGAGGAAGATTATAGGATGGAGGCTGATGTCTTCTTGGAATAAATGTGAACATACTCTTATTTTAATTAAATCTTAAATTAATTATGCTGACCTCTGAGGTCAGCACTGACCACAGACTTGCATCTGGTTGACTCAAACCTTGGCCAAATTCACATTATCAGGGCTCTGTCAAGCAGAAGAGGACAGTTACGAGGGCTATGTAAAGAACTGTCATTTCCTAAAATTTCACCTGGGTTTCCCAGCTGGAGGTCTGGGAAGTTGCCAAGGAGGTATTGGTTTGCTTTGATTATTCCTGTCCCTTGCTGTGGTTAGTTGTTTTAATGTTGTCCAGGACTTGCAAGCATTTCAAGGGTAAGATTAGAAACAAAAAAAATTTAACTTGTGGCAAAACTATGTTAACTAATTAAATCCAGGAGAGGCACAGAACTAGAGAAGCTGTAGGATACTCTCTTCACATCCCCTTCCTGTTCAGTGTTTCTTGCAACTTGGACTATGCTGGCTGGAGGCCAAGCCTTTTCCAGCGTGGCCTTTGCTCTGGTGAACTTCCTGCCCTCCGGAACCCTGCATCTGAGATTGTGCTGATGGAGTCTAACTGAATCTACCCATTTGATAATGCTGTCTTTGCCACAGGAGTCACTAACTATTAAAATGTTTAGGGATTTTTACCCCCAGCTTAGCCATATCAGAAGCTTCTTTTCTCCCAGATTTGTTTGGTACAGTGGAATCAAAAAGTCCTAGAGAGCTGGTATAGATGGGGCACTGGTGTAACATCTGAGAGAGAGCACATCTGATACATGAAAATATGCATTAAAAGCAATGTAATCCCAAGGTGGCTCATTAGCAGAGCAGTGCAAGTAGCAGCTAGTGAGGGGTCCAAGCCCAGCTGAAGAACTGAAGTGACAGTGTGTAGCCTCACCTCTGCCTGATGGACCTAATTGTAACACTGGCAGAAGCAAAGGTATTAAGGGGCAGCCTTCAAGAGAACAGGTTAGAAGGGGTTTGCAAGCTACAGAAAAACAAGATTCATATTCTCACTCAGGTTGCTGGATCTTTGTGGATTGTTCTTTCCTCTCCTTGACCTCTAAGAGAGGTACAAGTGACCAACACAGAAATGTGAAGTATGTTAATCTGTACCAAATGTGCAAGGTAGCTAGTTACTTGGCTGGACTTATGGTCTTTCCCTGTTTTGAGTTCTCAAATCACTTTCCCTTTCAGATTTCATAGGGAGTTTCCTGTTAATTATAAATCCAGCAGCTGAGTTGAGATCAGGTTGATTTCCAGTCCTGTAGTTCTCAGCTTAAAGAAAGTTGTATTTTTGTTTAGCCTTTGTCTCTCAGGAAAGTCATGTTAAACTACACTGAAACATTTTGGATTCATAACAATTGGAGTTTTGTGAACCATCCCTGTGAAGTACAGCATTCACACTGTCACCAAGGGAATTTGTGCCTGGGCAATAGCAAAAACTCCAAATGTGAGGAAGGAAAGCCTGGTCAGAGCTACCAGCCCTACTGTCCTTGACTAAGATGTACCACATCTTCATCCAGAGACCACTTTACACAGACCGTAGTCATTAGTCATTGTTCACAGGGTGTTAGTCACAGCATTGGTAGTGCCTGGGCTCAGACCTTCCTAATGTCCCAAGTCTTACTGTCCCATTGTGTCCTTAGTTTCATTTTTGCCACATGTCTGTTGTTGTTAACACTTTTAAAAGAGGTATCTAACCTTGTTCTTCTGCATTCACACATAAATCCTCTGCTTGGTGGCCTGGCTTCCAAAAATCTCCCAGGTGCAACAACATTGCTTGCCTTCAGCAAAGGCTGTTTGCCACTCTGCAATTTGGTGTATCGGGGCTATTTCTTAAGTAACTAGAGATAAATTTATTACTCCCCATCTTCTGCAATTCTTTTAAACATCTAAAGAATATTAGGGACTACAGTGGATTTCAGTATTGGTAAGAGTGGTAAGAATAAGGCCAGGTAGTGTACAGGTCAGACAAATTTGAATTTGTCTTTTAACACTCAGTCAAAAATAGCTCATTACCTGGTACAAGATTTCTGCCCCCCCTCCAAGTATTGTAATCTGTACTATTAAAGTGAACCCATCTAGATGCCATGAACATGGGGACAGTAGGATCAGAGGGCATAAGTATGACTTGTGTTACATAGTCACAGGAATTCAGTGGCAGTGCTGCTGCTGAGTCCACTGGAATCTTTGCAGCCCCTCTCTCTCTGCCTTGGCTGTGCTTCCTGCTCCAGGCCACCTGGCCACCTCTCCACAGCTCTGCCAGCAGGGAGGCTGGTGGGGCTGTGTTATACACTGAAGCAGGGATCTGATCTGTTTGAAGACCGGCTCAAAAAAAAGGGTTATTTTTTCACACACATCTGCTTTTTGAAAGAGTTCCTCATCCAGGAAAATTCATTGAGATGGGCCAGAGTAACAGACCGAAAGTGTGGGGATGAGACAGGGGCTTCCTGAGGCATCACTGCCACCAGAAGTCATTTAGGAAAAAGTGCTCTAGTGAATCAACAGGATTTTCACACCTGTCAGGGAAAAGAAAAAAACAACAAGCCTCCATAGTTTACTAATCCTGGCTCTCTGTGTGCATAATAGTGATTCAAGTTCCTCCTTATCCTTGTAATGGATCCTTCATTCAGCATAATGTTGCCTGCCACACCAAGCAGAACAGAGAGATTTAAAGCTCAGCACTGGGATTGTGTAATGTCCCCAACTTGAACCTCGGACCAAGTGATTTTTTTTACTTCTTTCTGATATGTTTGTAATTGTTAAGGCTGACAGAGGTCCAGATGTTTGTAAAGTCAGGAATTACAGGATAGTCTTCTAGTCACAAGGAAACAATTACTAAATGAATATAAGTGTTAGTACTGGTAAAATTAGCACTTGCTCATGCAAATAAACATATCAGACCCCGTAAAATTTAGCTCCTCATGTGGATTTTTTTTGTTCTTTTACATTCTGACAGTTATTTAGATTGTGACTCAAAGTTATCTCAGCTTCTAAGACCTTTAAAAGGATGTTCTCAGGCAGGTCCCAAAGAGTTGCTAAAATGTAGGTGAAAAGGATATGGCTTTGAATGCAGGTAGCAGTTTTATGGCTTGTATTTCTGAATCGGAGATGCAAAAAAGCCATTGTTGTCCTGTATTTCTGGTTTGTAGACCAAGACAGGGCACTGATCTGCCCACATTTTAGGTCTTTCTTCAATCATTTCAAAACCTGGGCAAAGAAGCTACAATTCTCTGCCTATGGGCCTGAGTCCACCCTGCTAGTCTTGACCTGAGAATTAGCTTCAAAACACTTACTTCTGTATGAAAAATCTCTGTTGGTTCATATGCATGTCATCTATTCAGTTACCTGGTGAAGATATCTTTTGGACTGCAAGAATTTGCAATTTCAAAAGATGTGTACCAAAAAAAAAAAATTACCAGTGCAATTTGTGACATAAAATACCTGACAGTGCATGTGCGTTTGTACCTCACGTACAGCACTGCTATTTCAAAAGGCAGTTTATTTAGGAACCAAATAAATTGCAACACATCTTCTTTAACCTTCTACTTATTGGTCTTGTGAGATTATGCCTAGAACACTTTTCTAGTGTTTATGCTTATTTGCTTTGTAGCTGCCTGCTTTGCTTTTGCCATGTAGCAGCAAGTTTCCTCCCTTTACCTGTACCAGTCAGGAAAAAACAAGAGCTAGAGAGGGCAGGGCACCTGTGAACGACTGAGACCCGGCAGGACGTCTGAGGGAGGAATAGGAACAGAAATGGCATTTGGGTACCTGAAAATGCCTGCCTGCCAGCTCTTGAATGTCTCCTCTGTAAAGTCTCAAATGACTTTGAACTCATTTTCCCAGTGTTTATTTTCAGACTGGTCAGGCTGTTTGTAGTCATTTGCATGGTCATGTCAGACAGAACTATTTCTTTCCTTTTTCATTGATTTTGTTTTCAAAGGCGTAGCTTAAGACAAACCAGACTTGCTTTTTTTGAATGTCCTTTCCCAGCCTTTTAGATGAAGCCTGGAGAGGTACAAGCCAAGACACAGCTTTTAGGAAGACCTAACTTGTGTGTTTTGTCCTGTGACTGAGAGACAGGGCCCAAGTGCTTTTTAACCTATTGCTGTAAATAGAGATTTAGATTCTGGAAGATACAGATTCCTCACATTATATTAAAATAGCTGAATTTTCGTTACTATGTTCTCAAAGCAACTATGATTTGTTGTTCATGTTTAGATCACTGATGATATTGAAAGTACCTTTTTTTAAGTGCAAACCGTCTTCAGTGCTTCATTCTATCTGTCATGGATTAATATTTGTTTTTCAGCTCAGCATGGGGTGTTTCATCTGTGCAATTGACTGAACCTGCTCCAAGTTTGACTTTTTTTTTATTTCAGTGCTTTTGTATGTGAGGAAGGAGACAGATGAGGTGTTTGATGCTTTGATGCTGAAATCACCCACAGTAAAGGGGCTAATGGAAGCTGTAAGTATCCAATGTCCTCACATTGTTTGTCTTTCTTGGCAAGAAAATCTTCAGGTTTTCCATGTAGTATTGATATTAATCATAACATAAAGATGTTCTCAGGTACATTTAAAGCATTTCACAAAGCCTTTTTGGAGCACATCTCTAAATGCTGGTATATTTTGAATTCAGTGTTGTCATCAGGTTGCTGGGATTAAAGTGTCACAGAGCTGGTTATTGGAGACACGAACCTTGAGGAATGGCAGTAATTAACCAGTGTCAGGGAAGCAGAGAGGTGCAGGCTTCATTTTCTGAAATACTTCTTTCTTAATTGATGGCTCAGAGCCTGTTGTATCTTTTCCCATACTGCCCATCAGTATGTTCACAGCCATCTTTTCAAGAAGAGGTCCAAAGATGAACCTTTTCTGTGTGAATTTCACATGGCTTCTGTGCAGTTGCTCTTCCAGCATGCAAGAGGCAGGTGCTGAGCCAATGCAGACTTGTCATTCATACCTTGTCTCAAATTCCTTCTTTAGCCCTCACTGACGGAGTGACCTACCTAACACCTGCCTCTTTGCTGCTTCTTTAACTTGAGTATTTGCTTGTTACCCATAAGCTGTCATCAGTAGAGTTGCTATTTCCCTATTTAATCCTTGTTATATGAGCTGATGGCTAGTAGATATGTGAAATTTGGTGAGAGAAGAGTTAAGTAACCATGTATCTCACTGCTTCAGTGGGGAGACTAATTTGAGACTGACATGTGGGATGCTGAGTTGATTTCCAGCCTTGGTTACGTGTAGGAGAGAAGACGGGAATGGATGAAAGTGTCCCTAGAGAGCTCAACCAAGTGCTAGAAGTGTGTATATTCATATTCTCTTAAAACTGTCACAGTATCTTGTTGCATGTACCAAACACTTCTAATGCAGTGAAGATTGAATAATTTGGTCAATATTTGGCCAGTAGCAGAAGGCAGAAAAAGATTTGTGGGTTAGTGAAGTTGTTTAAATCACCTTTTTAGATCAGGGTATCTCTGAGGAGTGTCAGCAGCATGCTAAGGATGTCCTAACTGTGCTTTTGCAAGTACTGTTTGTTAGCTCAGTTGTTAGGCAGAGCGCATGTGTAACAAAAACCAGGCTTTGCTTGAAGAGACTGCAGTCTGATTCATGGTAAACTGTAACAGGATTTCATCTTGTCTTTGTATGGAAGTTGAAAGTATGTTATAATCCTTCTATAACCTTTCAAGCTTGCCTGAATATTTTATCTCCAGTAGTCTGTGCTTCTCCATGCCTGTTCTCCAGCCACCATGTAACAAAAACAAAGCTGGTGCAGAAGCAGGAAAGGTTTCTGCATACCTCAGTCAGCACAGCTGCTGACTCATTGGCATGTTTTGGCACCAGAGAAATCTAATCTGTTGTAAAGTGTCTCAGTTCACTGGAAGGAACACATTCAGAAAATTTTAATTCTCTTTGGTAGGATATTGTAGATAAACCAGTGCCAGAAAGCTGTCAATCTGCATATTCTTAGATACTGCCTCTACATTAATTTCAGCAAATCATGTCATTTTGTAATTGTGCACATCCTAAATGCTCAATTCTAAACTTAGTACTAAGAACTTAAAAACTGAGCCTCCGGACATTACAGAACTCCAGATCTGAAAGAGAGCTCCAGTGATCCTGAATCATACCCTCCTTCTCTGTTTATGGATTTTATGGTTTTTTTCTTTTCATTAGTCCCTATTCCTGGTCTGTGGCTTTCTTCTAATTTTCTGTTATTAATGATATTGTTTTCTCAGATCCTATGTTTATTTTATTCTCACATATACCCCCATTCCAAATGAACACTTAGATTCCTTCTCAGATTTCTTTTTTTTGGCAAATATCTGGAGGTCTCAGGTTTCAGAAATACAGTACCTCCCAGGAAGTGATGCAAATGTTTGGTTTTCACTAGTCAGTCTTGATCAACAGAAAATAGTGAAACAATTTTCCATCACAAAATATCACATATGTGGTGACTGACCAGCTCTAAATCCTTCTTTCAGCCTGATCCAAAGTCGGGATAATTCTGGGTATCTCAGTAGATACTCTAGTCTTACATTGTGCAGAATCACATATTTATTCAAATTGCAGAAGGTAGACAAATTTGAGAAAATTCAAGAATGTCCCAAAGTTTTTCTGTAATTAAAAACTAACAGATGAGTTCAGTAAACGTAGCTTAGACAGAAGTTTATGAGGTACATATCTATATATGTGATATTCCAACCAATGTAGGGCAACAGACCAGACCGATTCTATTTTCAATATTCCATTCAAATTTCTATTTTCATAGAAATAAGTTGGCAAACATGTTTTCCTACATGTCTTGACCAGCCCAGATGTTACCCTTTCTGTCTTCCTGACTCCAGCAGAGAGCATTTCTGCTGGACTGTGCAATCAAACTGTGCAAACTTGCCATACCAAGGGACCTTAGCCTGAAGGGGCACCCAAACAGCTATTTCAGTTCCAGTGTGAAGGCTGTCACACTGCTTTGAGCATCCCAAGGGAAAGAAAGAATTCTCTGCTCAGAAGATTGGCAAATGGGAAATGGACGTGATAAGGAAAAATATTTGTCCAAATAAAGATGTCATTAAAATTTAGTGTAACCTGCTTGGGGTCAGGTGAGAAATCCTGTTTTGTATGGAAGTTGGCAGTAGTGGTGTTCTCCTTCATTGGCAACAAACATGCTGAGAAGAGGGTGTTAAGTGAGAAACCCTAGCAGATGCTGGCTCTGCTTTCTCGGATTCTGCAGCAGGATTTAGCACATTTGTGCTGGAGTCTTGTTTTCTGAATCTGTGAGGAGGAGGCTCTCCCATACCCCCACTTTGAGCCTTGCTTCCACAGTTTGCTGTTTGGTATAATTGGTCAAATCCTGAGGGGTTCCTGAGAAATGTGCTTATTCAGTCAGCTGGAAGTCTTTCGCAAAGCTCACTAATCCCTGCATGTTATATAAATCCTACACCTGTCATAGGCGGTGTGACAGGCAAGACTTTCTCAGCCCAGCCTCTCATAGTTCATGTAGGAAGTGATGTCCCAGAGTCCCAAACTGCTTTAGGCAACATTTGGAATGCATGAGTGTTAGATATCCCAAACATCCTAGAGAAGATTTATGCTGGAATGTGCAGAATGCTGTATATTAGCTGCTATTAAACCTCCTTGGCACAGGAATGTTTTGCCCTGCTTGTTTATTTGCATGGAGTCAGTGAAAAGTGTCTTCAAGTACTGATCTTTACAATATCACTAGATTTCAGAGTTAACAATCCAGAAAGGAAGATAAATTGTTTCCTCATGTTCACACAGTTGTGACGTTTTCTGCAGTTTCAGGTGGCAGGTTTTCTCTGATGCCTGTTACAGAGGATTTTTTCAACAGTCTAGTGAAATTGAGCCATTTTTATTATTACTTTATGTGAAAGCTTAAATTTAAGGGTACAACAAAATAATTCCGTTCATGGTAAGCAAAGCTGGAGGATAAGAAAGAGTAATGTGGTTACATAGCTTTTCCATAGGCTGCACAGAGCCTTTTGCATAGGCTACATGGAGCTCAGAGTGGAAAAGATTTGTTTTGTAGTTTGGTAGTGGGGATGCTTGTGTGAGATATGAGACAAGTAGGGTGAAGCTCTTGTTCTCGTACATGTGCAAAGTGGACCACTCTCCACATCAGGGACAATGTGACTGTACAGAATGGGAGCTTGCACAGCCTTGATGCAGAATTAGGCCTCTCTCCAGGCAGGTGAGAACATGGAACCAGGACTACAACCAGTATGTCCAGCACCATATCCAAAGTTACATCAGTAAAACTGAAGTAACAAATACCACCCAAATTTAGTTTGAATTTTGTTCCCTGCTAGGTGGAAAGCTTAGGGAGTGGATGGGTCTAGTGTACCTTATCAGTTACTCCCTTTCTGTTAGCCACAGGTGTACGCTAACACCGTCAGAGGAGAGTGTTTGCAGTGTAAAAGAAATTTTATTGGTTCTTCAGAATCTTGGACTTATGTTATACTTTTTAAGCACAAAATTGTATCTTGGATCAGATGACAATTATACAATTATAGGTGATGTAGGCAAGTACAGGCTAATTAATTCTCTCTCTCAGAGAATCTTGGCTCTCTGGAAGGAAGCCGTGCCTGGGGCTCAACCTGTGGCTGTTTGATTCTTTCCTCAGTACTGAGTTTATCCATTGCTTGCTTTCTGTTTTCTACTTCATGATAATTGCTTTAATTTACTTCTTGAAAATACCACGTTTTCTCAATGTAAGTCTGAATGCAAACACAAAGAAAGGATTTTACAGTGACTGATGTTTGGCAGTCTTTAAATGGATTTTTAATTGTGCATTTCAATTCTCTAATGCAAAAGATGAGTAGTCAGCTATTTAGCTGCAATTTCATTTCACCTAGGAAGAGCTGGAAACTTACTTTGCTTGGCAGTAAAGTACCACAAAACGTTAATCACTGACAAAAAAATAATTTTTCTGTAATTATTTTGCCTTTTGGGACAATCCGTCTCTAAAGTGTGAGCTGTGAGACCTGTTCCCTCAAAGAAGAGTCATAATTTGGAAAGGAAATGTGGCTCAGGTGGAGAGCTCAGGCACACCCTCTTCATGAGCACGCCACAGACTCATTGAAGAATGGACATCCAAAAAAGTTACTAATATGTTGCTGCAAAGTAGTGCCAAACCATTGCAGTGAAGTACTTGTTGGCACTGGTAATTTGTCAGCTAAGTAGTTCTTCCTTCTGAAGTTTTCCTGTATTTTCTGCTTTATCATTTGGGTAGATGGCAAGAGGTTTATTTTACAAGGCCCTTTTCCTTGTTAACACGCTTCTCTACAACATCTCATCTTGTTATCTGTACACTCAGATGATGTTTTGTAAGACAAAGCATTCTCGTTTTGCCACTGTAGTAACTAGATTGAGTCACCTCCCCAACAATACAGAAGCTTCTTAGTCACTTGTGTAGCATGTTGGTAGCCCTTCCACAATAAAAAGTACCTTGAAGATACTATTCAGAGAAAAGTACCACCATGAAGAGTCCTGTTAGCTTAACAAACCTTGAAATATCTTTGAGAAATAGAAATGCACATGTTTTTGTTGATCCATCAGTCCATCAGCTCTTACTGGCTTGCCATGTGTCTGCCTTCTGGAAGAAGCCTTTGCTCCCATGATCCCAGAAAATCAGATTAAGAAACAACGGAAAGATCAGATTGAAAATCTCTCGTAAAATCTGAAACTGGAAAGAGTGTTGACTCCTTTAGCAGAGCAGTAGGAGATGCTGGGGCAGTTTTGATGACTCACACCCTATAAAGACTATGGCCTTCAAGTTTCTGGATGGAAACAGTTGTGGGTTTTGATCAAGCTGTTCAGGATTATTCCTCCTCGAGTCATCCTTAAATGCAACCATGGTATGGTTGTGAGTGACTTTTCTGCATAGCTATCCTTCTAAACTTTGCAGAGATTTTGTTTTAATGCCTTACATAAGGTGTGATGATTTTACATTTCTCATTTGTCTTTAATGATATTTCTTTTATTTTTTTTTTTTATTTCAGATCTCTGAGAAATATGGGCTACCAGTTGAAAAGATTGCAAAACTTTATAAGAAGAGCAAAAAGGGGTAAGTTAATTAAATAACTAAGGGTCTATTGCGGGATCCTTTAGGAGTACTCAGAGATCCCAGTTATGCTTGGAGCTTCATGATGCTGGGCATCTACTTTGAGTAGATGTGCCCATGTGCTTGAAATCTTCATGTCTGTGGAGACAGTAAGGGATTGCAGAGGAGGAAACATGGATCTCCAGTATATGTTGGACCAGTGTTCATAAACTTACTGTGAAGAAAGAGTTTGTGTTTGGAAAAAGATACCTGGATAAAGTCTGTTTTGTACACAATATGCTTAATAACATCATGGAGGGCCAGTGTGGGAGATGCTGTCTTTGCTGTGAGTGCAGTGTGGAGGCAGGCAGACAGTGTTTGCTGCAGGGGTTTCAGCTGAGTAAATTTAGACATGAATATTACAGCCGGGATTTTAAAATAGCTAGGCCACTACTCCTTGCCATAAATCTAAATGTCTCTATTTTAACTTTTTTTTTTCAGTTCTATTTAACCACAATATTGTAGTGATATAATTTTAAACCAATCATTTATTTTCGTTACAGAGCTGTAACTCTAGCTTAGGGCATTGTTGTGCCTGGGAATTTCCTTAGCTTTTGAGAAGACAGGTGAAATTTCTCATGGTTTGTTTCTTTCTAATACCATTTTGAGGTTATTGTTAGAAGAAACACTTTAGGTAAAGAGTGAGGAAAACACTCATATGCACTTCTAATAGTTGTTGTTTATATTCTCACATCCAAACTGAGTTCTCGGTCTGTGAGCTGTGTGCAAACCACAAATTATGCTACTTCCCTGTGTTAGCAGCTCACACACACAGAGGTGCAGCAGCTCATGTAGCATATCTGAGGAGCAGCATGGAGCAGCACTCCTTGGGGGAGCTAGCACCAGGCATGGGAAGCACCAGCTAGCTTGGTCTGCCAGAGATCTGAACTGCAGCTCATCTTGTAGGCAGCTTAAATGTGTTAGCATCTCAGCACTGGCACTTTTACCTCAGCTACTTTAGCAAGGAGCAGCCTCTAATCCAAAGACTGTAGGGGACTATGGGGCAGATCTTGATGATGATTCCCACTAGTGACCCTGTACTGGCATGTGCTGGAGTCTGTTTATGTGTTGTAGAGAAGCGAGCATATGTGGCAGAGTGCATGACTTTCTCTTCCAGTGTCTCAGTACATAAAAACATTGATTTTTGCCTTTGTCACCAGTATCCTGGTAAACATGGATGACAACATTATTGAGCACTACTCCAACGAGGACACGTTCATCCTGCACATGGAGAGCATGGTTGAAGGCTTCAAGATCACACTGACAGAGATCTAGCCTCAGGCAGAGCCTTTTTGTAAGGAACCACAGCATTTCATCCTTCTTGGAAAGCAGAAGATTTCCCAGGAACTTGACAGATGTTGATCAGAGAAACTGTTACAAAACTACTTTTAAAATACTGTCCATTCTGCACATGTGCACCCACTGCATATAGACTTGGGTTTGTCAAGCACAAAGCCACCCACATTAACCTGGTCCCTTATTTATTGTTCCCCACTCTCTAGTGTACAAGCAGTTACCAGCCCCCAGATTTGTAATCAGATGACCTACTGCAAATGTGAAACATGGCATTTTAATCCATACTTTAGTGTGGATAAGCTTGTTCTAAAACATGTTAAAGAATCCTGCTGGTCTAGTTCCAGAAATCTGGTATAAATTACTTTAACCAATAGTTGTCTCCATCAGTGCTACAAAGCTGTTGCACTTCTAAAGATGGGGAAAGTGGCTGAGAGTTCACTTGCTCAGACTGATCTGTGTCTCTATATAGTGTATAGTCTTGCCAAATACCTCTGGTAGTTCTCAGCACGTAGCAATGAGGACTTGTAAGTAAGGCATTCAGCTACAAATGTCACTTGTAATTAAATGGTAAAGAAACCATTTTAACCTTGTATATAATGTTTATAATATGCAATAATATATTTTAACTACTGTATGTGGGCACGTTTACTGCCACTATGTTTTTGTATGTATTGGGTTTAGGGTTTAACAGAATCTTTCCTAGAGGATTAAATTGCTGCAATCTGTTAAGGTTGTGTACTGAGAAGCTGATAACTTAATCTGCACTCATATGCTCTATCCTTGCTCACACAGTTATATATTGAAATATTAGAGCAAACCATGCTACAGCATCTTGAGTTCTGTGGCACAAGGGAGCCCACCTTAGGTGCCCGCCTCCCCGCTGTAGATACCTGAGTCTCCCATCCAGCTGTCACCAAATCCAAGAGGCATCACATGTCTGCTGCCTGATGTGCCTAGAGGCTCAGAAGGAAGGCTCCCAAAGCAGCCTTTTCTCAAGCCTGTGGTGGGAAAGGTGCTTTCTGCAGCAGCCTGCTCATTAAAGCATTCCTCTAGACTGTAAGAAACAGGACTTCAAACTCTTCCTCTTAAGGGTACTTGCTCTTGTATCTCTGTTTAATGATTTCTGAGACAGTTGAGTGAGGTATAAACCTGGGCTTGATGTAAATACTTTTATCGAAATTGGAATAATTTTGCCTGTGCAGACCAAGTATCCCACAACTGAGGCGTGGAGATAGGTCAGTCTCACAAGGGCTGGATCCGAACCCAAGTTGAAGTACATGGTTATCCCATCAAATTCCACCCTGTCTCTTGAGTTCTGTGAAGAAATAAAGTTGTGCAGGCTAGGATCACAAGGAAAGGGGTTCAAGGCCTGAATGTCCCTAGCGCATCCAAACACAGTACCTCTCTCTCTCCTTTCCAGCTCCTCTGGCTATTGTAGGGAGCTCCTCACTCGGGGTATAGTCCTGTGAGTTTCAGCTGCATTTTATTCTCTATGCACTGTTCATGAGTCCTGTGTGACAGACAGAAGTGTGGGTCCTTTCTTACATGCAGCCTTTAGAGTTTATTTTTTTTCCTTCTGAAACATTTTTTCCTTCAGTCACACAACCTTTTTTTATTAGGTGGTTAGTGGAATAAAGAAACGCTGCCTAGTTTAACAGGGCTCACTCTCTAGTGTTTTGAGCTGTGTGGAGCTATTTGTTATTCAAGCAAAGCAGCTGGGATAGCTGACCAGTCTGATTTGGCCAAGTTTTTCCATGCATATTCCTGCAAGCTATTGCACACTTTCTTAACTTTATTAGCAATAGCATCCCATTAAAGTCTCTACTCCCAACAGAAATGTTAAGTACATGTCAAAGTTTCTGTGGGACCAGAAACTATAAAAGGTTCAGGCCATTAGTGTCAGGGCTAACATACCCAGAATCCAGATATGTCTGTAAAGCGAAGTGTGTGTTCTGTCTTCCTCCTACTCTCTTTTTTTGTCATGCACTCTTTTGCCTTCTGATGCAGAGTTTTGTAGTAATTTCCTTAACTTTTTATAAAAATGCACTCCAGCAAAGATGCTCTTACTGCTCTGCTCAAGAGCAGACATCCTGGGAATACAGGGGATTTGTGATGGTTCAGTGTGTTTCTACTTGGCTCAGACCAAGATAAAAAAATCTATGCTGACTTACCCCAGATACTTTTTTCCTAAGGAAAAAAAGAGAACAGTTTTGACAGGTGGCATTAGAAACTGGGTCCAGCACATAGGACTGGTGAGCAATGCTGTTAATTCTTGTATTTCTCTCTTGGTGTTTGGAATCCTCAGGATGTTAGCTGGGATCTCTCAGTTGATAATGACATCTGGGAAGAAGCTGCAGGTGAAGCACAGGAGTAAATGTATGCAGGAATTGGGTCCTGATTCTGCTCCCAACAAACCTGCTGTCTAAGCTCTCTTACAGGGAGTGCCTGTGATGCCTGGGGCTGGCCCAGGTTGGCATGTGCTGCATTAAGAAGAGACAGTGAGAATTTAGGGTTCACAGAGAAGGATAGGCTGTCCTGGCAGCATCAGCACTCAGGTTAGTGGGACATTCTTGTCTTACACCTGCGTGGAGATGAGCTGGGATCTGTTGGGTGCTGCAGCATCCTGCACCAAGGAGGATCAGTGAGAAGCTCAATGTCCAGAAATACTAGGGCTTAAGGAGCTGTCTTTCCATTGCCATTTTAGGAGCTTTCAGTGAGCCACTGTCCAGAGAAGGAAAGTTGCTTCCAAGATTAACTGAAAGCTATTCTAAATACGTCTTAAAGTGTGTGAATTCCTGATAGTAGAAAACTAATACTCCTGCCTTTAGTTCCTTCTTACAGTCTCAATGAAGTCAGTAGCATTGAGGAAGACAAGTAGATAGGTGGTAAGATTATTTTAAAACAATGACTGGAGCTAGGTAAGGATGATCTCAGCTTTATCTGCCAGGGTCCAAGGGCTTTGTTTCTCTGCTCTAGATGCAGATGCATCGTAAGCACTAAGACATTACAAAGAGTATATCAACCTGCACCCCTTCAGCATCAGCTGCTGGAGGAGCACTGAACCTTGGATGCTGGTTGTGGCAAGCTACAAGTTCTCAGAGTTCACCTTGTTGGTCTAAATCATCCTGTCAGAGTGATGGGAAAGGGACAGTACAAGTACTGCAAACTTCTGGAGCAGTGGCCTGCTTTGTGCCCTGCTTGATTCAAATGTCTTGAGGAGTACATAGTGCTTGCATGTATATTGTTAAAATATACATGTCGCTTTCATTAAACAACGAAAAATATTGATTATTACTGGATCTTCCAAGTACTATGACTTAAATGGAAGTAAGATTTGGCTACTGTTCAGCGGGGGACAGGAATATCTGCCTTGCCTCCTGTTGTCTCTTTGTGGCACTGCTGTGCTTGTTTATTTAAAGGAACAAAATTTTCATTTCCTTTCCTTCTTCAAGGCAGCAGTCTTGCATCTTAACTAGTGCAGCTTAAGTGTGGCTTGTTGCTCAGAGCATTTTCCCTGTGAAGAGTTAGAGTAGTGCAGTGTCTGTAGATGTTGTGTTTTGAAAGATCTGATAGAGATGTATGAAAGGAGAACAGTCTTCTAAGTTAAAATTTTGATTCCTGCTACAGATTTGGTACTTTTTCCGTCCATTTGATGTTTTATTATGAAACCCCATTAAAATTCTCAAATTTAGTTATTTCTCACAGTCAGGTGCTGATACCCCCAAAATAAAGTGCATCCTTTCAATGAAGCTTTGTGGATGAACAGTGATATCCTCACAAGACATTTTGGAGGATTTTTACCACTGAATGTAAACTACGAAGAAAAGAATGTTTTCTTCCTCTGTGTCCTCTCTCATGAAGTTTTTAGTCAATGGAATTCAGAGATCAAATATCTTTCCTATATATATTCCTCTTTCATTCTATGGGTTGTTTAAATGTTGTAAATTAATTCAAACAATTAGTAAAATCTAAACTCTATAGCTGTCAGAGATGCTGTATATTGATTGAAATGGAACTGGAAAGGAGTATCTTATGACTTTTAAAATGTAAAGCTTATTAAATGTTTATATGCTCTTCCATTTCCTATTGAGACAAGATACAAACAAGAATGTTTGTGCCAAAGATTGTGACAAGCTGTCTTACTGGCAAACAAGGAAACTTTATGTATAAATAGTGTGCTTTTATATTAAGAATATAGCTCATGTAACTTAATAGTGTTGCAACTGGGAGAGGGGTTTGATAAACTGTAAATACAGTTATTTTATTTTTTGTACATTTTTAAGAAGGAAAAAATAAATATTCCTATGTATGAGATAATATTTCTGTTGCTGTGGTGTGTGTGTTACTACATCTGTTCAGGAGAGATAGTATCAGTAAGTACAAATACCTGAAGTGAAGCGCAGAGAGGATGGAGTCAGGCTCTTCTCAGTGGTGCCCAGTGACAGGACCAGAGGCAATGAACACTGACTGAAACACAGGAGGTTCCCTCTGAAGTCAGGAAGCAGTTTTTCTACTGTGAGTGTAACCAAGCACTTGAATAGGTTGCCCACAGAGGTTGTGGAGCCTCTATCCCTGGAGATATTTAAAAGCTACCTTGACACGGTCCTGGAAAACAAACCCTCACTTACCCTGCTTGAGCAGAGGAGTTGAATCAGATGAACTACGGAGGCCGCTTCCAACCCCAACTGTTCCATGATTCTGTGACGACTTGGACTGTCCTGGGAACCTAGCTGGAAGCACTGGTACTATCATCTTTGTGGCTCCAAGGCACCTTGAATGAGTTCCTTACCTGCATCTGCTCCTGCTGTGCCCTGGGTGCCCAAAGCACTGAAGCATACCTGGCTATGCATCTTGCAGTAAAACATTTTCATCAACCATTTTATTCTTCAAGGGTTGACTTTGGCTTTTCAAACAAGAATCCAGGAGGTGAGAACATCTAAGTAAGTGAGACATTGCTTGGGAAAGCATATGCCTCAGCAAAGGAAATCTCCCTAGGCAGTAGCAGGGCAGCCGTCTTACAGTGAGGTGGAGGAGTTCAGTGCTCTGTATGGCTTAGGGTGAGCCAGGACCAGCTCCCACGGGGCTCTTTAGGGTAATCATGTTTCCTGGACAATGCCTGTGGTAGATGTTTAAATATGTTTTATAGGAAGTAATTTTACTGAGTGGCTCTTAAAATGTGAATGCTTTGAAGCTGAGTGGTTGGCAGTACTGCATCTGTGAGGCCATGGAGGAGTGTCAGCTGAGGGGAACTGCTGCACCCACTGCATGCTCAAAGGCCCGATTGTTTCTGGCATGGCTGAGGCAGGGTTTAGCAGGGTGACTCACAAGGTCTTTAAGAAGAACTGACCCTCTCCTAGGAGTGGGGAGCAAAACACCCCTCCTCTGACTCCTGACTGAAACTTTAGGGGACTCACTGCAGCAGCAAAGCTGTGGTTTTTGGAACCTTCCCTATCTCTTGGCTCAATTCGAGCTGCCAGAAACAGTGATAGGATCTGGAGCATGCTATTTCCCAGATGGGGCCATATCCAGGGCTAACAAGCTGATGAGACACAGGGTCTCAGATTCTCTCCTCCCTGAGGCACTCGGAGGTCCAGTCCCAGACTATGGGGGTGCAACATGCTCCAGTGGCCGGTGGTGGCCATGACCGGGAGCCATGGGCTTTGCACAGTGAGATGCACAGGCCAGCAAAGGTGGTAAAGTGGAGGATCTTAGCATCCCTGAGCAAATAAATACTTCCATATACTCCAGCCTTTTTATGCTAAATTGTATTAGGGCCCTAATGGGAGAGTGAGGAGAATGTATATCACAGGGAGTTTGGCACACTGGAAGTTTGTGTAATAAAGGTGGTTTGAAGTTGCACTGAGCACGGGGGATACCTGGACACTGTAACTGATGCTTCTTCCAGGCTCCAGCCTGTCTCAAGCTTATATTAATGTGCAGTTCCACAAATAGGCTTTTTTTTAATCTCAAGAGGAAATAGGCACTGGTTTCTGTTACCTTCCCGTGGGATTTAAACTACTTTTAGCACTCTGGTGCTAATCCCAGCTCCAAATTTAGCCTAGGTAAAAGTTTGTGGAGTTTAAGAAGCATGCACAAGAGCCAGCCCCCTCCAGAGCCTGTCTGAGGCTGGCAGGAGTTCCTGCTGTGACAAGCTCTGCTGCTGCCTCATGAGCCACATCTCAGAGCGACTAACCACAGCTACCACCTTGCCAGCCCGAGCTCCCTTGCCACATCCTGCCCCCCTGATGGTGTGCTAGTCCTTAGGGTAAAAAAAAACACCCTAAACCTGGAGAGGGATTTATCTGTGGCAGGGAAAGTTGCTGTCAGTTAGCTAAGCTGGTCTTTCCAGCTCCAGAAGACCAGAGCTCTCAGCCTTATGCTGTCCTTCCTTTGCTTTTGTAATCCACTCCGTGCTACCCTACTCTGTACCCAGCTGCTGGCTTTAGCTGCTGGAGGAAAAACTGTGTTAGCAGTGGACAGCCCAGCCGGCTGCAACGTGCCGGCACAGTGCCCATGCACCGCCTAAGCCCTGGCTAAGCCCTCCAAATTGGCTTTCACAGCTGCTGACCCTTTGCCCATGGCAGTGAGTGGAACAGGAGCTGTGAAGACAGCAGGCAAAGGCTTCTCTGAGGTTTTCTCAGCAGACCATAGGGCTACGTGAGACTTTAAGGCTCCAGCATGAAGGCAGTAACAGCGCGTGGCACACCATAGCTAGCTGCAGCAGAATGTTTATTAGTAGGAAAGAACATTTAGGGGATTTCAGTAGGTCAATTTGTTTGAACTGTCAGTATCCACCATACATTGGTTTTCATCAAGATTGTTCAAGGTTACATATTTATATAAGAAAACAATAATTCATATTTAGGTGCAATCAGTAATTCCAGTATGAAAAAGCACCGTGTCACAAAACAGTTTACAATACAAAAGTCTTCAAAATCTAACATTTAAAAACAATATATTTGTTCAACAGTAATAACAATACAGTAAAAAAATTCTTATTTCCCTTCAAACAATACTGCTTATATATTTTGGCACTGAAAAAGAAACTATCACAAATGCGCCTTTTTAACCACACAATGCTGTTTTGTGAGTGTCTATATAACAAGGAAAAACATGCTTTTGAAGTCAGTCATTTTGCCAGGTGCAGTTTGAACTGCTTTCTCCATTAAAAAGAAAAAAACAAACTAATAG